GTACAGAAGTTTCTGGTTAAAATAATATCCGAATCGTGTGGAATTTTTAGACAAAGATCGGACGGTCTTCCCACGGCTGTATGCAATAAATGCATAACCTTCGTTAAAAAAATCCATGTATTCATAGGCAAATGTCAACAAGCACAAACTGACTTAAAGGAGCAGGTAACTGTGAAAAGATGTCCTGTGCAATCGCCCAACATTTCAAACAAAAAACCGGCGAAACGGCAATCAATGTCACAAGATGATGAGAGTATAGAAGAACCAGAGATGGACGTGCCTGGCCCCAGTACAATACATCTAGACATAGCTCATTCAACTACGACTTCGACTCGCAGTGTAAGAAGCAGGCTCGATTTTTCATCGACCGCAAACTCAACTGTAATCCCGTCTTCGACCCTGATTACTGCACGTCAGATAGAGAAAATAACAGCAGCTGCACGAACAGAAGACGCCTCTGTCCTCGCGTATATAATTATGAAATATTGTCCCAACGTAGTCAGAGAGGTGAAGAGAAAAATCACTGATGATATAAATGCGTCTTGCAAAAACCTTTGCCTTAGAAACAAAGGCTCTATTTTACACGCTGGACGACAAGACTCATGCGGCATGATGATAAACTTCTCGTTTGAAAAGTTGTGGGAAGAAATGGAGACCAATATCCCATTTGTCATGGAGATTCTAAATGCAATCACTGGTGTTGAAGGAGGTAAAGCGAAGCAAGACCTACGAGCAAAGTACGGGTTTCTATATTCCATTCTAATGAATGTACGTTGGCATGAACTAAGTCTGATTCAGCGATTGAACACGCTTTGCTTAATTGAAGGTGGCTGCTCAAAACAGGTAAATTTTTTATTAATATGTGTTTACGTTTCACTTTTCAAAATGATACAATGTTCATGGATATCTACTTGGCCTTAACTTTACCAAACGTAAGGGTATACTACAGAAAATTGATTGTTTATACCGGTAGTTCTGTCATATATACAACTACGTGCACGTGACTATATGCTATATGCAAAGACCATTGAAATCAACACAAGTGACAAGTGTACAGCTTAATATATTCAGGTTGTAATAGCACAGTGATGTCTATACGGTTTATTTTAATTTAATTTCCTAAACAGTCAACTAATATAAAGGCGAAAAGCAAAGTAAAAGTGTGTTTTATTTATGTGTGCATGAAATTTGCAAATCATTCCAAAATTCACGCAGCCGAGTCAGCTTGCAATGTCAGGTGCATCTATTGTCTTATTTGTTTGTTTTGGTCGTGTTTGTTTTTAACAGGTAAAAACTTTTTAACAGAGTATGAACAGAGCCATAGGTCTCAATTAGGTTGTCATAATTAGCTGCACGAGTCTGCATAAACGAAATCATTTGAGATGCTAATCAGTTTCCCTTCTTATAAAACACGACAAATTTAGGTATTAAGAAACTGTAAAATTCAGCCATTATGCGCTCTTTATTCTTACTTTTTCCTTCATCTGTATAATTTACAGTAATATGGCTGATGTATAAATAGAGTATCAACATAAAGACCAAATAGAAACTAGGCTTATTAAAGTAGTGCATTGCCATAATTTGCAACATTGTTGTCAATTATAATTTGTAATAAAAGGTTTCTCTTCTAGTTTAAACGCAAGCCGCCACATTATCCTGATACACTTTACTAATCAAAAGCTTTCTTCCGAACGTGCTTAGAAGAGCTTCGGGATGAGCAAATAACAATTTCGCCTTTCCATCGATCACTGCTTTCGAAACGTTTACATTACATTCTTCCGAAGTTTGTGTTTCGACCAATCAGAACACGCGTTATATACATGTTATTTTATAACTTTGCTTCCCCGGCATTCAATCGATTTACAAATTAATAGTTATTCTTTTAAAACTCGATCATGAATTCCTTGTTTTGGGATGAGATTTTTTTTGTAATCGAGTAATTGGAAGATGTGCATGAATATTGCGACGTGAACATGGGCATGGGAGCAAATACCCTATACGTCGAGCTATGGCTTGCTTATAAAAACGTGATATGAGCCGGAATGTCATGAAATGTAAGTTGAAATTAATTTTATATACCTCAAATTTTCCATCTAACTTCAGCGGTCTATAAGTTCAAAATACAAGCTCGCGAAATTTGAGAAATTTTGAAAATATGTAAAAATAGCTTGATTTTGAACTGTATTTTTTAAAAAATATCCCGTGGTCTCAATTTCAAATATAGCTAAATGAAAAGAAAAATCTTTTCGGCGTATGTAGGTTTTTCAAACAATCATGCATATCGTCAGGAAAACTCATTATAGGGGCTCACAATATTTTAGCTAAGTCTTTGAGACCCATGGCCTTGCAGTTGCTTCGCACGTGTTGTGCAGGTCAAATTCAGTTTGCCAAGAATCAAAGACCGAAAGGTGAACTTCCTTCATGAAAACAGCCTCAAGAAGGGTCTAGTTTGAAAATTTAGCTCTTAATTTTGATTTCATGAGCATACTTTGGTTACACGTTAATTTAAATATTTTTGTACTTGATGCGATTCAAAATTTGTTGTATTTTCAAGCCCGGCTTCACTCCTTCACTCTTCAGTGTAATTTTGGTGATGACCGGAAAAGAAATGAAGATATTTAAAAAACTGGCCTCACGATAAAACTTTCTATAAAAATGTTCTCTGTTTCATGTATTTTTACTGATTTGATATCAATGTTAGCTATAAGCGTAAAAATAGGGGCTCATACAGTTTACAAGGTTATAAAGTGCAAGACTAGCCTGTATTTTCATGTAAACATTCGAAATGTTTTGACAGCAAAGTAGCAACTGCTTCATATCGAATGCACACGGTCACGCCTAGTGCATATAGGGATATTCCCAATGAAATGAAAAGGTTCGTATGTTTTCTAGCTATTTCCTAAACAGGGAACTAAACATTAAGTTAAACCTATTCCAAATACATTTTAAAGTATTCAAATGATGAAAGTTATTGTTCGGTTTTTAAGAGTTTATTAGCGAGTGGGAATTACCAAATGGTCGCCATCTATTCAAATGGGGGTAACCGCTGGAAAATTCTTGGCTTCAATTTTACTAAAAGAGATGCCCTATCTAGTGTATATAAGATATCTATGTATTTACACAATTGCGCCTCAGTTGTAAACATGCGTTGCGTGAATTCCACGCAATAGTGTGGCTCCTTTGCTCGCGCATGCTCAGACAAATTTGAAATATGAAAATAGATCAGGTGTCTGGCGTATAAAATGTCGAATTACTCAGTTTCTTTCTATACGCAATAAACTTGTTAACGAATTTCATTCTTCTTCAGAACATTACGCATTGAACAAATGTATTTTGAAGGCTTTAGCGCAAATGAAGCGCACAATGATGTAGATGAATGAAAATCTTTACGGTATGGGCTGCATTAAAACTTTTGCATGGTTAAGCGATTTGTGCAGATTATCACTGTTTTAGTGCGAATCTGAAAATGAATGTGAAACTACGGGAAATTTCAATATGGAACAATAAAATCCGGGGGGACAGTCATTCTATCATTCTACATATAAAACGATTTCAAGTACTTTTTCGGCGAAAAAAATACGGCTAAACATTACAATTTGTTTATATGTTGGCATGGATCCACTATTAAGTAAAAAATGCATTATATCAGAATGAGCGGACTTGCAGGAAAGTTCCAATGGCCACCCGGATTTTTGAGTCCAGCACGAGTTCCAATGAGTTGTCTTTTGCGATTTTTCCTGCTGAAACCAGAAGTTGTTTGAAGCTAACGAGTGCGTTATATCATTCTATGATAGTTGTAGAAGAATGGATTTGCTGGAAAATATTTCAATGTAAACGTGTGATGCGTGAGAAGGATTTATTCTCTCAGCTGCGTTGTTGTCATTCGCTTCGGGTTACAAAAGCCGGTTCGCCTCAGCTACGTTTTGCGATTTTTCCTGACAAAACGACAAACGGTTTTAAGATCTAGTTTACTTTATGCCATTCACTATAATGTAGTAATGAATGAATTTTAGAGTTTAGGGAGCTACAGCTGGTATTTTGCTTTCAACAGAGAAATATAATATTGCCGATCACTTGCGACAATATGGCGCAGCATGAATTCACGTCTTGATCGTCTATCTTTTGCGATTTTTCCTGACTTCACATTTGCGCTAAAGCCTTCAAAATACATTTGTTCAATGCGTAATGTTCATTATGTTCTGAAGAAGAATGAAATTCGTTAACAAGTTTATTGCGTAGAAAGAAACTGAGTAATTCGACATTTTATACGCCAGACACCTGATCTATTTTCATATTTGAATCTGAATGTGAATCTGCGAATCTGAAACTGTAACTGCCGACCGTCCATATCCGCCGCGTATCCGTGTATCCCAAACCCAATACAAAGTAGACGATTTATGGATTAGATATGGACTGAAATAAATTTAATACAAAATTTTGTAAGTAGTTACAATTTACGTATTGTATAAATATAGACACTTCTAAAATGACAATCTTGGATATAACCTTTAGTCTAGTGCCAATATTGCAAACGGACGGAACATTGCAGGGACGTGCTGGGGACTTGCCAAGGACAACGAATGAGCAACGTCTGATGGGACCAAGGCCCAGTGACGAATGGATCAAGATTGGGGTGCGGGGAAAAACTGACCAAACACGAAACATTTCAGTCGCTAAATAATCTTTATTTCCCAAAAATTGTTTCGAGCGGGGTGAGTCGTGAATTAAAATTTACGGACATACCATTTTTCAGTGAACTTTCGAATTAATGTACCGTATTATTTGTTAATTTTTCGGTATTATTTTCGTAAATTTAAAATATAAATTGTAATATCTTAACCTTGATTTTCCAAATTAAAATCTATATTTTTTGTCTTTTCCAATGCAGTTTTAACTTTAGGGGTCCATGATCGATGGCAGGGGCCCACAACAAGTTCTCGTCAGCTCGACCCTAGAACATTGTCAAAACAAACGTTAACTTCGAGAGTGAACTCGAACTTTTGGTTACCATGACACCAACCTCGTACCCAGGGTATTTGCTCTTGGGAACGAGGTTGCCATGACACAAGTTCAACATTGTGTTGGGGGAGCTGGCATGGGGCAGGCCCGGCGCAGGAGGCATAAACAATTGGGGGTGGGGTGGGCACCGGCTTCTAGGGGCACTTTTCGATAATGAAAGGGGCACCTTATAATGTGACACCGATAATGAAATTTCCCGGAAATGTTGGCGAGGGAGAGGGGGAGGCGGATTTTCCGGTCAAAACATAGTTTCATACTTAATATAGTACATTTGCCCAAATTTCGAATTCCAACGTACACGGAAAGTTAGTAGACACTGCTTTTGACGAAATTCCTTTCATTGGATTTACGTGACGCGGAATAGTATTTACAACAAAGCTAGCTTGTGTAAAAGGGCATACGTAAATGTGTTCAGGAAACAAAAGGGCACTTTTGCTCCTTTCCTATCGTTCCTACGCCTCTGGGAGCAGGAACTTAAGAAGCGCAACATGATTCAACGTGGAATTTCAAAAAATCAAGATTGTAGCGACTGCCTGGGACGTATATTGGATAACGAATGGAGTATGTCATTAATTAAGAGCGTAGTTAAGAAATGTCAGCCAATTGGAACCAGCCATTTTATTCACCAAGGGAAACTGCCTGTTCCACCTATTTATCATAATCACTTTCCTTAATTCGCATCTTGGGCGACTGAAAATACATTTTATACCTGACAAAAATCTCAGCTGCTTTACAGTATATCAGATCGGGATGTGTACCCAGAAACACCCAATTACATATTTTGGGAATTGTGGTATTTCGAGAAAATTATGATCTACATTTGAACGTGAAAAATTAGCGCTCGAGTATTTTTTCCTGATTGCTAATTGTAATTCCTGTAGGAGTTGAATTTCTTTGTGTTTGTTACAAAGTTTAGAAGCACTCGATCTAATATTGCTCCTCCCCTTCTTACACCAATATTGTTCGATAGCTTGAGAGGCATGAGAACCAATCAGATGCCTTGGTATAGTCACGTGACGTCATATCTGAACACACGGGCAATGCACCTGGGGTGTTCAAGTCTTGTATGCTGTCGCGAGAATAACCGAAGTATGAGCGAAGAATTGTTATATAAAATCATTTCTACACAGCTCAGATGTCTATAAAGGATTGTACAAGATAGAATGAAGCTCTTTGCTTTGATTGTCTTACTCCTATTTGGTTTAAATGGAATTTTGGGTAAGGTTTATCGAAAATTCGTTGTAGCGTGTGAAGCGCTGTTGTGTTGTTGTTCAGATGTTCACTGATCAAGAAATTGCTACTTATAATGGAAATATTTCGTCTTCGCTTTACGTAGTACATGGCTTATTATGTTATTGAAATAGTAAGACATACTTGGAGAAAAGAACTGAGGATATATTACACGATAGTACGGCGTTCTATGGACATATATTTGATATCTGAATGGACAATTTATCGTGTATAATTTCTTTGCATGGTTTAACGCGGCGTTCGATTCGGGCAAACGTGTATGTTATGTTTGTTGGCATGTTGTGATCTATACGAAAAGGGATGGTATTTTTGCTTGCATCATGCTTCCTAGAAAGATCTCGGCGGTCTTTACAGCAGTATTACAACGAATCGTGTGGATTTGTGTAATGTGTTTGGTTTATCGCGTGAAGCAAAGCAAAACGCGACATTATGTGTCATATTCATGCTTTGTTGTCGCGCTGTACATTACAAGCTCATGTGCGATTTCCCTGCCAATGTCACAATTATTGGCTAAACATATTCTTAAAGCAGTGAGGATGTATATTATTATTTAAGACGCTCTGATCCAATGCCCAGTTAAGGCCACAAAACACAACAACCCAAACGATTATATTTGTTATCAAGCGTATTTCACATCTGGACGGCTTTGCGTGATTTCGAGTGACATAGAAGCGCTGATTTTTCGACCTGTTTACAGTAACGTGTGAATTTGATCGACTTTGAGTAAGATTTCTTGAGTAAAGCGACCGAATGAGGGATAAAAACGTCTCTAGTTGCCTCTCATTATGGGCATTCATTTATAAAGGCATTGTAGTCAAGTAAATGTTTATTTACATATCATTTGACTTGATTAGAAGCTACATTCAGCTTTACTCAATTTTCGTCTTAGCTCAAAATAAGCTTTACTACCGAGGGATAAAACAAAAGACATTTTATTTAGTCAGCCATAATGTTTTGTGAATCAGTATATTTACAGATACGTATCATGCGAAAATATTGAGCTATGCAGCTGTAGCCATTGATTTGAAACGTATTATATTTCTTCGCTCGTTGTCGGATTATAAATCTAAAATAGTCGAGAAAGTGCTAATCAACTATATTACTTGTTTTCTTTACTTCTTTATAGTTGAACCGCTCAGGCTTTTATACTCAGAGAGAAGGAATATTCGCTTGCTGCATGTTGATGGGGACCGACGTAGTCAAAACAATTTTACAACTACTGTGCTAGCGAAGAACCTAGAGGATGCAATAGCCGTCGCATTTCATTATCAAGATCAAATCTTATTCTGGACTGATGTTTCCTTGGGAAAAATATTACGCAAATCTATAAAGAAAGACAGTAAAGTTGAAATAGTTGTATCTGTTGGTTTAAAACGACCCGAAGGAATTGCGATTGATTGGGTCACAAAGAAGATTTATTGGACTGACTCACACTTGAAATTAATCGAAGTTGTAAATTTAGATGGAACGCAACGTTCTGTGTTATTTTGGAACAATTTAGATCAACCCAGGGCTATTGTTGTTGATCCTAGCCATGGGTAAGTCACATTTCTTTATTATTTCACCGGATTTCCATATTTTGGCTGGGATTTGATCGTGCAGCTTATCTCAAGGGGTTGTCGATTGTATGGAATTTTTGCTTGAAACCTGAGATATTCTTAATTCTAGCCAACAATTTGGCCATAAATGTTGCATATGTCTATATATTCACCCTTTCTTTAGGATCTCGCTAAAAAGTAGTTCTAATTGGATTTTCGAAGCCATTAAAAATCCATTAGAATTTGTATGATCGAATGTAATATTCTTAATGCTGGTTTGGCCGTGAAATCTAGCCCAGCAAGCATTCATATTTCAAATCAAGAATGTTTCATCCATATAGCGTGGAACCCATGCTGTTCTGTATATAATGTTAATAGTAAGCCATTTCGCAATTATTTTTTCCCAATTCACAAAAATCGTCTCAAAACAAAACATTGGTCAGCCTTGAATTTTCTAATGATGAAACATACTGTACAATGCGCAATGAAGGAGGTCGCTATATATGTTCCTCACAGTTGGAAACACTGTATAAGGAATACTTTTCCATTGCGGCAGTGTGTTTTAGAACTAATTCTATTTATCATGCAAGGAGAAGCTGTTTTAGTTTACACAATGAAATCTGAACCGTTTATTTATTTTACTGCGACAGTTCGCAATTAACATTCCAAGATTTCGGAGTAGTAACAAAATATGACCGTTTCGAACATAATATTTTAACTTCAACTAATATTGTTCAAATGCTGTATAAATATGTACACTGTTTTCTGCAATTTTATTTATTTAGTTAAGGAATTTGGTGCTAATTATTCCCCTTTTAACGGAAGCTTAATTGTTTACGACATAAGCTTGGCGCTAACTGCTCTCGCATAACCCGTTTGTGGTTTTCCGAAAAACCAATGTTAAAGTACATTAAAAGTAAAGTAAGCGTGTTTTGTGTGAGTCAGAGTTGCAATGGTGGTGCTACAGATGTATAATAGGAATGAATGTGGGTTTTCTATTTGTCAGCTGGGGTGATATCCTGCTGAAATATTCAGTTCCGGACTAACAATTGGCAAATGGAGTTTCCAAATTACATGTGGTGCTTTTGAATATAAAATGTGTTCAATAGTGAACACATCTCATGGCTTTTATGAAAATAATTGGCAAAAGCATTTTTCTAGAACTATTCACTTCCTGTATGTTCACAGAGAATACATACATGAAATATGAGGACAGGATTGTATGTAAAACACATGTTCACTGGAGAATACATCTCAATGCTTTGATGCATGAACTTGGCAAAGAACATTTGCTAGAGTTATACACTTCCCTCTATTCCCAGAGTGACATGATCTTTCATTGATCCAAAATTGAATTTAATTAACAAAATTTTATTAGCCATCAATGCTTCCCAGGCTGCACAGAAACATTTGGGGGCCCAGGGCAAACATTTATAACTTTTTACCCCTCAAGATTTGTATCGTATAGTACAAAAGTATTTTAGGAATGGCAAAATACTGCATTATGGGAGACTATGTGGCAGTTATGTCTATGCATATTTCACTTTATTTTTATTTGTGCACCCTTTAGGTTATGTGAACCTGGGGCAAATTGCCTGTTTTACCCCTCTAGGTACTCGATTGCAAGATTTATATGTTTGGCCACAATGATATATATGTTTTTATTTTACCCCACCCCCTCCCTCTAGATGCTCCTGGCATGTTGGCAAGTTCTGAATATAAAATTGGTTCTCAACACATTAACCTCGAGGCCCTTGACAAGGAAATTCGTCTCACATTAGACAGAGTAAAATAATAAAAGGGAACATTGAGGTACTGAATGCAACTGAAATCGGGTTAAACATCACTAATTTTACAATACTTTTTACAAAACCAATGTCGAACATGCAGTGGATTCTCATAGATCTTAATAAAACTCTTCCACGGTACTGTATATCTATAATAACATGAACTATAAGCACTGTAATATGTGTTGCTTTTAAAATGTAAATATGTTTGCTAGTAAACAGATCAGTCAATGGTTTTATAGAAAAAAATGTTAAAAATATTTTGCTAGAAAGTAGTATTTTGCTAGAAAGTAGAACTTAGCTAGAACACGTACCCACCAGTCTTTGCTGTATACTGATAGCGAGTGCAGGAAAGCTGATGTGCATGTATTTGTAACAAGAATGTTTCAATTTCCAACTGCTTTTCTTAATGATAATCACATCTTGCTAATCAGAAGGTTGAGGTAGAAATTGGGAGGGAAATGCAGAAATCATGATTCTCATGATCTGATGATTTAATTAAACAGAATTAATTTACAAAGTTGGGGTAACTCATGGGGTACATTACATGGCCGGACAATTAATAGGTTAATATGACATGGGGAACTTGGTTCTCCCATAAACTGACCCAACACTTTCTCTTGCCAAGTAAAATTATGTGGCATTAGAGGGAGACTAAAATCAAGTAAGGCACAGTTTGCAACTATTTTACACACTGGCAATGTGCCCAACTCTATTATTTTAACAATTTAATCTGTCTAAGGCTTTAAACCCCCAGTTGGTATATTTTAAAGGATTTAAATGTTTAATAAACATAGGATTTCCTTCTCTCTTTTTCATCTCCAAGTTATCAAATATTTTAACCATAAGCTGATCTTGGATACTGTATATGCAGTATCAACAACCTAATAAAGGCAAAATTAATATAATTCTTGATCCAATTGAATCTATATATTCATGCCCAAATTTCTTTTCACCAGTAAAATAGTTTGGCATTCCTTAAATTAACTGAAATGTGTAGATCAATATATTGTCACAATTGCTTCCTTGTGGTTTCCAGTTAAAACTTAAAACCCCCAACAATTTAAACCTAAATCCCCCAGCAATTTAAATGTCTCTCTTCTACCAATTACACATTCAAAGCTGCAATGTATGCAGCATAATGTACCTGACTTGATTATTATACTAGCCCCAAGGGAAGAGTCTTGTACACTGTTGGTTAATAAAATGTAATGCAATTATAGTATTAACTGAGAAACAGTTTACTTCCAAGATAGACTTCTAAGACTTGGCAGACAATCTAGGAGGGGTGAACAGATGGGTAAGCTGTTGAAATACATAGCTACTATCTAGAAGAATATTGAATTACATAGGTGTACGGGACGGGGGGCAGCTGCCCCCCCCCAAAGATTACAAAGCCGAAAAGTCGGGCAAATGTTCAACATAAGTCTGGCGAAGAGTGGGAAATTAAAAAGAAAAAAAGTACAGTAGTCAAAGCAATAAAATCTCTCTTAATAATAACCCCAGTTTGTTGGGAAACAAAGCCTGTTGGGCAATATTTGCTTCACAGTCGGGCAATATTGGGTTATTATTAATTAAGCAAATGTGAATGCAATGTACCGTACGTCAAAAATATATACAATAGGCTGTTTCTCAGACTGTGTCTCTTGATGATATTTTTGTATTTGTGCCACTAGTAGAGTAATGTTGTGCTTTAAAGTGCATTTCGTTCATCATTATTCAATACAGGATACATGGATAATTTCTGAAATTATTAAAACAGGTTTAACTGGTTATGATTCGGAATTGGTTTACCGGTTTTTATTTTAATGTTTTTAGATTCAATATTACAGTAACTTAGTGGCAATAAAAGTATATCAAAATACGCTTCTATCAACTTAAATTCGCACCCAAAATAATTTACAATTAGCAATGCTTAGAGAGAGTAAAATTAAATTGTTTACTTTTACATGTTGTTTTCAGGAATATAGCTACATTACCTTCACTTAAATGACTAATCAGTACAGTAAAGTTTTTGTAAATATTACAGCAACAGTAGCTAAACCGGGACAAAAAAACTTATTGTATAAAGTTCTAAAATGAAACAATTGTTTTAGAATATTTGGCCATAAGCCATGTTATTTAGTGTTGAAAAACCGCAGACTCACATTTTTTGTGCTTAGGTCTTAGAGCTAAGCAATGAACTAAAATGATCTTTATATGCATGCACTTATCACTTTTTTTATAAACACTTGTTCATATTTGCATGCATTTCATTCTACAGTATAAAGAGTATTTAGAGAGTCTTAGGATTTTGTATCAGATTAATGCCCAGACAATTTTATTCCTTTCAAGCAAGCAATTATGACATTTTAAAGTAGCTTTGGAAGGCTTATTCAGAGGATTGGGACATTGTGGCATTCTCACCTTGCAAGATATTGATATATACAGTATTAACAGTATTCATTAAAATGAATTTCATTGGAGTGGCGGATTAGCACCCCATCAGTGGGGCCTTGATAAATGTCTAAAATTATATATGTACCCCCCACAAACATATGCAATTGATGTAATTTTATTTGAATGTCTGAGTATGAAGAAAATACATAGCACTAATTTACATATGGATATGACCGTATGCTTTACATCAAGTATTACACTTACCTATAATTACATACAGTCTTAGCCTTAAGACTATTTTACTCTGTATTTTTACAACAATTGTGATATTAATTTCTTATCTATGTTTGTCCTAACTCACCCTGTAAACTTTCCCTGTGGTTGGAAACCAGAAACCCGGAGAAAACCCACAACTTTCGGGAGAGAGTTAACTGACTCTTTTCACATGAGTCTGTAGCGAGAGTTGAATAACCCACATTTTACTCTACAAGTTTTTATCTGAATTATCTAGTTGTAATTTCTAACTAAATTTCAAGAGGCCCTCAGGAATTGTAGAGAACCAATGGGCCATTATCCGGCCATATTGCCCAGTAGCCTGGTGGTCTAATCTGCCTCTGTTTCATTAGTTAATTCACTGAATATTATTTGGTATAATTTGGTTGAAAATATCTTGGTCAATAAATTGGCAAGAAATATAGTGCATCCAAGCAACTGTGAATGGGATGCATTTTTTAGGACACTATGCATATCATACTGTACAATCATATGTTTGTAATATGTCAGAATGGATTAAAATATGAAGTGAAGTACGTGAAAGCAAGTTGGGCATCTTCAAACACACTCAATATCCAATAAATTGTATGATATTATTTACTCTGTCTAATGCCAGACAGTAACACTTGTTGAAATTGTCAAGGGGAGAGCGCTGGCCTCATACGTACCTATTATGGGTTAAGTCACAGTGAGCCTAATGTGTGCCTTGTGGTATTTTATTTGACTGTCTAACACGAAATGATTTACTTATCAAAGGAAAATGTATGAGGATGTATATAATAAATTGCAATTATTTTTTGTATTTTAGGTACATGTTTTGGTCAGATTGGGGGGAGAAACCCAGAATTGTCCGTGCCTCAATGGATGGCACAGGTCGAAGAAATGTCATTACCACTGATGTCAAATGGCCAAATGGTTTAGCCGTTGATTACAAGGACCCTAGGTTATTTTGGCTTGATGCTCATAAGGACTATAGTCGTCTTGAAAGCTCAAATCTTGATGGGAAAAATCGAAAGAAATTAATCAGCAGCTCTTTGCCACACCCTTTTTCAATTACTATATATGGTGATCGAGTCTTTTGGACGGACTGGGAGAGATTGTCTATTGAATCATGCAACAAGAAGACTGGGCATGAAAAATGGCTTGTGAAGGATAAAATAAAAGATTTAATGGATCTTCAAGCTTTTGAATCTGAAAGGCAACCAGATGGTATGTAATTGTTGCATAATTAAGAGCAACTTTAATATAAAGTACCGGCATGCGTTATTATTTTAAAAGCCAGGTATTGAAATTCATCCTCAGAATTCAATTAATGGTTTTCAGGGCATTTTTTAAGAATTTGTCAGTGGGGCATCTACAGGAAGGGACCATACTATACCGAGTGTGGAGAAATGATAGATGGTTTGTTGGTAACAAAAAGTTTTGGAAAATGGGAGGCCTTAGGATGACTCCTGTGTTTATGTAGACACCACAACTTGGTCACTCAGGGAACCAGCTTGATAAACTTAGAGAAGCTCCACCATGGTTGGCACTGAGCCGGAAAATTTTGCGTCTCTAAATCGTCGGAAAATTGGCATTTTCAAAATCTTCTCTTAGACCTCTTGTTAGGCCCTTAAATCACTTCGTTCATTATGATTTGTGAGTCTATAGTATCCGCGAGTCAGGATGGATTATTACGAGAAATGTTGTTATCAAAGTATTGTTTACAGATATTTGATTATATATATACGATTTCAAATACTTCTAGTTTTGAAATCAATTGGGTTTTTTGTTGGGGGGCCAAAAAAAAACTGGGTTGGAGCCTGTTGCCCCGTGCGGTCACTAACTTGTTTAGCTGAGCCTTCCAACAACTCAAATCTATAGGGTCTAGCAAATGCAATCCACTGGAAAATGTTTAAAATCTAATAAGGTATTTACAACACAATGTTTAGCATTAAAAATAAAAGACAGGACATAAGATTCCACAAAGCCAATTTCAGTTACTAGAATATCAAACCTCCCTTCTAAATTCCATGTTTTGCTTATATTTTAGAGAAAAGGGACTTTGACTGGGGGGACCAAAATGGTTGAGTGGGGGCTTATATAGTTAAAAAATGCCCTGATGGTTTTATTATGCAAGCAAGGACCAGAAAGAACAGTGACATCAACAGATCAATTTGCATGCAACACAAGCAGCGTTAATGCGCACGCCGCATGCGTTATCAAGCTGTGTATATCATGAGGGCGTGACAATGCTAGGAAGGAGCAACACAGTGTTGTTTTCAAATGTAAAAACATTTCAGATGTGAATATTGAGTAAATCTTTGAGATTCTACCCAATATATAAATTGATGTTATGCATTACGGGCATTCAATCAAGTGCCGATATTATTTTGACGGTATATTCATTATACAGTACAGAGCTAGGAAGGAGCTAGACAGTGTTGTTTTCAAATGTATAAACATTTCATATGTACAGTAAATATTGAGAAAATCTTTGAGATTCTATGCAATAATATAAATTGATGTATGTAATGCATTACCGGCATAATCAGTTAAGTACCGATATCATTTAGGAGGTACACACAGTATATTCATTATACAGCGACTGTGTAAGGTGTTACACCACATAATAAATGGCTACACTCAGACACTCAGTACACTGAAACCACAGGAGCCTGTGATAGTCTGTGCTGAATTGCTGAAACCACACATATGGCATGTGCCTGTTTGGCTTTCTAAATATAGAAATGATTGTAGGATTCAGAGGACATGATGGAAAAGATGGAGTACGGAGTCTGTCAAAACATAGTTTATTCTTCCTAAAGATTCAATTTCAATTAATGAGACTCCGCGTTTTCTCTTTATGGGGGCATTAAGTCGAAAACGCGGAGTCTGTCAAAAAATTGTTATTTTGTCCAAAGATTCGATTTTAATGAGACTCCGTGTTTAATCCACTTTTATGCCCCCATACACTCACAATACAGTATCTTTCTCAATTTGAAACTTTGCACTATCATTGGATCTCTAGTTAAAATATAATTAATACTAAAATGTATGTACAGTGCAACATACATTGTAAAATCATGTAATACTAATTTGTTTATACTATAGTAAAAAACTCTTGTGCTATTGGTAATGGTGGATGTAGCGACTTGTGTTTGTTGGCTGCTGGTGGTAATCATACCTGTGCATGTCCAACTGGTATTGTTCTCTTGGATGATAGTAAAACCTGTGAAGATGGTAAGCCATACAGAAGCTGAATACTGTATATTTTCCTTGTAATTTTTGTACTGTAATAATGTATGACATGTAAATTGGAGAGAGATGTTTGTAATTTTGTATCAGGATTTGGGGCATCTACACTCGATATAACTAATTGTAGAAGGGTTTTTCCAACAACCGATACTTACAGGTAATCTAATTTCCGAATAAATGCTTTATTTATTATCCAAAAAATGTCTGGAGAATTTATCACAAAATGTTTATTTGGTCAGTGCGAACATGTATGGCATTAAATTCAAGGTGTTTTACTTGCAGTACAATATAATTAGAGAGTGGCTACTGTATTAGATAATATATATACTGTATGCATGGTATTAAAGTTAAGGTTGCTTCGTGTATATAGAAATTCACTCAATAATAATTAATGAAGAACCTTTTGTTTTTCAGGTCCACAAAATTTTGTGTTAGTCGCAAGAAGAACTGAATTAAGATTGATCTCACTAGATACATTAGATCACACAGCAATTGTATTACCTATACGTGATATGAGGCATGTTGTTGTGATTGAATATGATCCTGTTGAGAGGTTTGTCTACTGGACAGATCAAGATCTACATCTCATCAAGAGAGCTAAACTTGATGGATCAGGTATGCAAATCATTTCACTTGATCAATGCAATGCATGCTTCTTTATGAACTACTACTGTACCTGCAGCTGATGGGGTTTTGTTTGAGATCATCAACTGTAGCACACGAACAACAAACTTGTCAAAGGAAACTTGTAAAGGAAAACTTGTTGACCATACACACGAGAAAGTAAACATGGCAAGGAAACTTGTCAAAGAAAACAAGTTGACCGTGCACACAAGAAAGTAAAGTTGTCAAGGAAACTTGACAAGCTTAATTGCTTGTTTGTACTGAGTTTAGCATTTAACGTCCTGGGTGGACTCTTTATCTGTTAAAGTATAAAATTTAATGCATGGTTATATTGTATATACAGAAGAACAAATTGTAGTTCAAGCTGAAGTGAAGTATCCAGAGGGAATTGCAGTGGACTGGATTGGTCGAAATCTCTACTGGAGTGACACTGGTACTGACAGAATTGAAGTGAGTCGTTTAAATGGTACTTCAAGACGAGTGTTAGTGTCAGAGAACCTGGACGAACCTCGAGCCATTGCCGTGGATCCTGGGGAGGGGTAAGTCAGTTCGCTCAAATATACTTTGAAACCTGTAAAATTCTATGTTTCCATGTGACAATAGTGAGTTTAGGAAATACTGTATACTGTACATGCAGTAACAGCCATTTAAATGATGACGTGCTCATTAACTATACGATTTTTGCTCTGTTTTATGACACAATTATTATTTTCGAATTGGTGTATGTATATACAGGGTGTATCAAAGAAAGTAAGACAATTTTGAAATTGCTCTCAATTCCACAATTCTGTTCATGAAATGTAATTTTTTATATGTGTGGATTGCTTGAGTTCTTAAATTATGGAAAATATAAAAAAAATTGAAAATAGTAAATTTTGCTATCCAGGGGGGTGGTCAACTTTTGCTCTCCTAAAAGTGGCTTGCGCACGGAAATGACAAACGGTATTCTTTATTTAAGTTCATGTATGAAAAGTTCGCTATTTGTTGCATTTGTGATAGAATTTCGACAGGATTTTACCGAGTACAAATCCTCCGAAAAGCCTATGAAAACGTTACATTTTTCTCTGTTGGTGCTGTTCTTGCTTCATTATGAATTCATTTTTACTCCCATGAGAGTTCCGTGGAATTTCCATGGAATTTGTGCTTTCGAGTTGTTTGTGCTGAAACGCATTCTCTCGTATAATACCCCGTACACTGTGAAGTGGCGATGCCACAGTTTACCCCGCAGCAGAGAGCTTTCATGCATGGTATCAGAGTTCCTCCGTAGCAACAACATAAACTTGGTTCGCCAAAGTTTCACGAACGAATATCCAGACTTGTGTACGATGCCCTTCACGTATTCGCACGTGAAGGGTATCGTACATCTGGATATTCTTGAAACTTTGGCGAACCAAGTTTATGTTGTTGCTACGGAGGAACTCTGATACCATAAAAGCTCTCTGCTGCGGGGTAAATTGTGGCATCGCCATTTCAAAGTGTACGGGGTATTATACGAGAAAATGCGTTTCAGCACAAACAACTCGAAAGCACAAATTCCATGGAAATTCAATGGAACTCTCATGGGAGTAAAAATGAATTCATAATGAAGCAAGAACAGCATCAACGGAGAAAAATGTAACGTTTTCATAGGCTTTTCGGTGGATTTGTACTCGGTAAAATCCTGCCGAAATTTTATCATAAATGCAACAAATAGCGAACTTTTCATACATGAACTCAAATAAAGAATACCGTTTGTCATTTCCGTGCGCAAGCCACTTTTAGGGGAGCAAAAGTTGACCACTCCCCTGGATCGCAAAATTTTCTATTTTCAATTTTTTTTATATTTTCCACAATTTAAGAACTCAAGCAATCCATATATAGCAAAAATGACATTTCATGAACAGAATTGTGGAATTGAGAGCAATTTCAAAATTGTCTTACTTTTTTTTATACACCCTGTATATTAGCACTCTTAATGTGATTATGTGAAACCCCTCATCAAAACATGTCGTGTATGTCAGTATGTTAGCACTCTTAATGTGAAACCCCGCATTGGAACCACCGAACGATTTTACTGCCAGAGGAAGTCTCAAAATTGATTACAAGTTTTTTATTGGTTAAAATCAAATCATCTTTTGTACAATCCATGTGTAGTTTGACTGCACAGTAGTATGTCGTTGTATTTACCTCAGGATAATATACCTCACAAAGGAGATAATATACATACAGCTTATCATTCATTGCTATATATGAACATACGGCACACAGACTTACAGTAAGCTCGGATCAAACAAGAATCAGAGTGCATGTGAGTTGGCAGTCACGTGAGCTTGGTTAGCTGTTCTTAATGCTTTCCCAACATTATCATGTATTCTATTTGAGTTAAAACATAGTTGGAACATTCATCAAATATGTGTTATCTAGAGCATGAAATGTCACCCGTAACAATGTGTGATTGCCAACCCTCATCAACTCTCATCCTCGTTTCACCGGGGCTTTAAAGTGTTTTAATTTTAAAACACAAAACAAAAGACATTCAGTAAATACGAACTTAAATTTCAAGATTTTCTGTTTCAGAAGAACACTACTGAGGTGCAATCGCAAGATGCAGACCAAGGACACAAAGGTATTTTGAAATTTATTATGGTATAATTTCAACACATGCATGTAGAAACCAAATTCTATTGCGAGTGATGCATGTGTGTACTCTACATTCTATTAGGTTCTGAAATTATTGTTAAGACGATCATCAAACAGGAAAAGAATTTGGCAATTGAAAATCCTGATAGGAGTTCAGTTCATTCAAATGAAAATGGAAAACGGAAAGAAATTCGTCAGGTAAGTCTCTTTTCTAACCAGGTGAAGAACCTCCTGCGGAGGAGGGCTAGTGACAGATTTTAACCCGCGAATTTTAGGGCGGGTGAAACGTAGGCCTGTTTTCAGGCTACCGATTTACTTTTCCTTTTTTTTTTGGTGAAATCAAAATATGTTTTTGTCGTCACCATTGCCATTCTCTATAAACTTGGACGCTGGTATAAATAAGTGATCATTAGTATGTTATATGTCGTGTGCAAAGGGTGTGGTTGCCCACTGTCTAAGGTCCAGGAGTTAGTATGAGGGAGTGAGACCAAAGTACCTGAAGAAAAATCCTGGACGCACTAGCGAGACCAAACCACAACCCCACTTACTTTTCAAGCACATCAAGTCAGAGCATAGCCTCCGTAACGCAGATTCACCATGTGATTGGTTGATCATAACAATAAAAGACAATGAACTATAGAAAATCATCTTTCTAAAGAACGAGTCATAAACACTGAACACTATTGTTTCATGAAACATGCAATGACAAAACACGATCATTTTAGGTTGATATTTCCCTGGAGACCACCCCATATATGGTATGACGGCAGTGGTAGAATAACTACATTATGTCGAACTTTTCAGTTGACAACTTAGCTCATCTAACACACTGGAAAAAAAATTGAAAATCTATAGAATGGAAATTATGTGGACCTTTATTGGAAAAAGAATGGATTTTTAATTATGGATAATAATTGTATATTTGCATGTTATGGATATAGTATCAAAATGGTATGGATATACTATGGATTTAGTAGTGCAATTGCAATTCTCGTAGTATGGATTTCACAGTGACACTTACTTTTCAGCGTCATCGAATTGAAACGCTGCTTTTCACCCGTTTTTGTGTTGGAGACAATCACTTGCGCCAAGCATTCCGTGTAGATTATAATTTTACACTCTTTTCTGTGTAAAATACAGGCAATACCGTGTTTTATGCCATTATGAGCAAACTTAATTTGTTCTACGTTTTGTTTCTTAGACGGTTACAGTGCCAAAGAAAACTGAAATAAAGCCAGCTGGTGAGAAAATAGTTGAATAGATTATTGCACCTTGTTTTATTTTCCATTTTGGCGAAGTCTCAAATTGTATATATTATTCTAGTATTTATTTATAACAAGTTGTTTTGATTCGTGTTATTGTAGACACTATAAAAGACAGTCCAAATTCTACAAAAGAGCATAAACATTTGAAAACTGTAAAGGATGTTACTCAAACACCAAACGTTTTGAAACCGTCGCTGAAAATACCAGGTTAGTCTTCATCATTACCCTCTGGTCCATAGAGGATCATAATTACCCTGGGTATTCTTGGGTTTCATATGACGTCACAAAAGTGACGGGGCATCAACTCTAAAACAAAACACAGTTATCAGAGTGAGTCGATTGTTCGTTTTATGTATTAGCCTTGTGTTTGGTGGCAAATACATGGAATTTCGTATCATTTTCTCACTCCAGTACAGCATAAGCATCAATACATTTGAGGTTGAGCCCCCGTCGGATTCACTGCATAATGCCGTGGTGAAACCCAAGATGGATCTTGTATATATGGCACTATAGATGTCCTATTATCGTATCTAACCGCCTTTTCAAGGCAGATTTGTAAAAGAGTATAAATAAAAAGATGTAACATGTAATTTTAAGAGTGCACTAATCTGTAAATATCATGATAGAGTTATCTGGGTTGCTTTAATGTTTGAAAACGTTTCAAAGAGAAATGTCCCCCCATACATTTGATTTCTTAGTAGGCGGCTTTCTATTTCTAACAATTGTTTAACTTGTTTACGTTTTAAGCTGATTTACATATTTGTTATTTAGATTCAGCAGCCGAGAGACATCGTATCAAAACCTACATGTTAGTTCCCTCCTACCATGGTTTTAAAGTGAGTTTACTGATAAGTTCGTTTTGTTGTTTGCTACTTTACTTTTACCGCAAAAAAATTTGACTCAAAACTTGGGTTCGTACACTCACAGTGACTCAAAAAGTTACTTTCAAACTTTCCAACTAAAATAAATTGCTCATAAATTTGAATAATTTTGAGTAAATGTGCTCATTATTTTGAGTAATTTTACTCGAAATTTTGCGTCAGTGTGAGTGCATCATCATTTTACTCAAAACTTCGACTGTTTTTAAGGATTTTTCTCCTATCGTACTTGGATCAAGAACTCGAAGCAGGAAAACAGAACCAGTTAAAACAGAAAAAGGTACTGGGATACTTTTACTTTTTATCTGAAATCATCCGCACCTCGCAGATCCTGTCCTTGCATAACAACGAGCAGTAATACCATCCAATCACGTCCCAGTGATCGTCTCATTGTCTTTTCATTGTTTTAAAACTCCTGCTGTTCTTCTTCTTGCCATCCAGTCATCAATTGTTTTGATTTACATTAGCGTTTATGCAAGGGATCTATACAACAACCATAATACTTTGCGGAAGGTTGGGACTTCAAACTTGGAACAAGTTTAGAACAAAAAAAAATTAGAACTAGCAGGCTTTCGGAGTTTTCAATTGAGTATTCCCCTTCCTTGCTCCAACTTATGGTCACATAGTAAATCAGCTACAGTATCACCAAAACCGCGGATCCTTCCTGGTATTCCGAAACTGTAATAAAACCGACCGGCAGAGATGCTGAAACTTTTGAAAAATCTTTGATTTAAATTTCCTGGTTGACGCGAGCAGCTCGCGCCTCATTTCCGGTTTTATTGTTGACCGGTAAATAATTGTTTCATTGTGGACCGGTTGGCCACTCACCAAAGCATGCAGTGAATGTCATGTTTTGTGGACCGGCACGTGATACCGCTTTGTCCAATCGGCAAACAGGAAAATTGAACTTTGACACTTTATTAATTTCTTTCAATGATATTTACCACAGAAGACGACGTTCCCGTAACGAAACCCCCAGAGAAAAGCGAGAAAGATATTCCATTGTTAGTCATTGAGACAGTTGGGAAGAAAGCTGTCAAACAAGACGTGGTAGCCAAGAATGAACAGTTGAGAGATTTCGTCAAAAACAGTATTCTCAAACAAGGAATGTTGAAGCAAGAATTGGAGGTAAAAAGTTTAAAACAGACCCATAGTCATACGTGATAATTTATGAGTCAAGACCAATTTGTTTCTAACTACAACATCTGATAAGAGAACAGTTCTCTGAATAAAACAAGTCTGTTGTCATCTGCACTGTCTACGCATCAGTAGCTAATAAAATTTGAGATGTCCAGGGCAAGTCCAGTTTTATCCATTTTGAAAAAATGTAGAAAGTGGTACGAAGTGCAATCTCCATGCATTTTGTAACGTACTGTACGATCGTCTTGCAACCTAGGAAATTGGAGAAAATAATAATACTGTAGAGGCCCGTAGTATGTAGTTTGTTGATAGACAATTTGCTGGTCGTAATGTTGTATTGCTAGTTCCTATCGGTGATTGTCTAACCAATATTTATTTTTAGCTCAACGAGAAAAACGAGGACGCGGAACAATTTGAAAACCGAGGTATGGTGGTCATTGTGCGACGTTTTTTAATGTGGTTTTTCTATACGTGAAATACACTATAGAGAGGACATACTTCCATTTCTCTATAATTTTTAACATTTTCCCCTTTTTTCCCCATGCAGAAAAACGAAATTTGTCGGTGAATAGAAACACTGGTGAAACAGTTCTGCACAAAGCTTCTCGAATGGGTTACGATGTGAGTTTTATTGACATTTGTATTTATATAATAATATTAAGAATTCAAGCTCTTTCATTGGTCGAGAGCCATGATCTATTAGAGGACAGACGGACGGAATTACGTCACAATTAAGGTAGTCAATAGCATTCCCTTATTTGTATAGATCATGCATGTACGCGTGATGTTTGTAAAATTTCGACTTTTTCAAATTTCCAAATGTTTGGGTGGATATAAAGTAAGCTATTTACCTGTTTAATTCGGGGATTTTCTTTTTATTATATGAAACAAATAGATAAGATTTTGCTGTTGTCTGCTCAGTTATAGATATACAGTATGACGTCATAATGTTGGAAGAACAAAAAAGTGACCCACTCGCCTCGGCGGCACTTTTTTGTTCTTCAAACATGAAGTCATACTGTATATCTATAACTGAACAGACAACAGCAAAATCTTATCTATTTGTTAAATACCAATTACGCCGTAAAGCCGTTAAATAACGCCGCAAGTTAGTGTTTTAACGGACAAGCGTTCACGTTTAACAGCTGCATATTATTACTATAATTATTATTACTACATATTATTATTTAATATTTACTATTATTATTATTACTACATATTATTATTGCTATTATTATTACTACATATTATTATTACTATTATTATTTCTACATATTATTATTATATTACTACTACATCTAAGTGCCCTCTTTCCCAGATAAATCAATGAGAAAATGCTCTCGTGGAAATGGGCAATAATGGAAAAAATGGGCAATGGGCAATAAGGGAAATATTAAATTTCTCGCAAAAGAAAAAATTGAGGCGAACGAATGTTAATTTCATTGTAGGCTCATATAAAGCTTTATATGAGCGACACTTGTTGTGGGGGTGGAGTGTCCCTTTAAGAAGCATTTTGCTTTCCTAATTTTACATTGTTTCGTACGCCACTGCGTCTGTAACAGTGTAGATTATAACGGTCGGATAATAGTGCGGTTCAAATTTGACTTCCACTACCGCTACCGCTACCATTAAGGGACCATTAACCAATCAGACGCGTTTGATACATTCAATTAACCAATCAGATGCGTATTAAGCCAGTGAGAGGTAATGGTTGCGATAGTGGAAGTCAAAACTGAACCTCTCTATTTGCGGAACAAGAATACTAAATCGCCGATTAATTGTGTTCTGTACGGACATGTTGACAGATGAGATAGAATACGAAGTTTTCATTTAAATTAAATATTCTGCAAAAAAATGCTAGAAAAAGAACACAAAACATTTTCTTGACTTCGCTGTGACGGGCACCAGACATGCAGAAAGTTCAAAGACAATAGGGGACAAAAGTTATGTATGGTCATGTGAGACGTGATCAGCACGACAAATCAATGTAAATATTGAAAAGCTAGCTGACCATTATTTGCCAATGTCCGAGAAAATACACACTTGAGCGGACATATGTAAGATCCAAGCGATATTGTTATAATCCAGACTGATCTGTAAGGTATTTGTTAGTATTTTACGGTTGGTTTTAGTGTCAGGCGTTAAGGATTAAGAGTGAAGACATATCTACTTGCACGACCCTGTCAGATCGATGGTTTATTGTGTGTATTTGTAGGAGACAGTATATCACTGTATTCAACAAGGTAGTGACAGTAATGCTAAAGACAATGCAGGATGGACGCCATTACACGAAGCCTGTTCTCGTGGTCATTCTGATGTTGTTAGGGTTCTAGTCAAGTACAATGCAGATGTTAATGCTTGCTCAAATGATGGAATTAGGTACGACAGTACGGTATATAAACTCGCCATTTTTCACTGTTGTTTTTCATATTACTAGAGCTGCTCGAGGATTAATCGACATTTTCTGTAATCGATTATTTTATTTTAAACAATAATCAGTTCATATACAACAACGTTCAGATACTGTAGAGAAACTCGCAACTTGTAAATTTACTAATTTACTGTAGCTTCAAAACTGAGAACACTAATAATTTTTCAACAAGTAAGTTTGATGATTTAGAAAGGCAAACTACGGTTCAAAATTGACTTCCACTACAGCTACCATTAAGGGACCATTAACCAATCAGGTGCGTTTGATATATTCAATTAACCAGTGGTAGTGATAGGAAGTCAAATCTGAACCTCGCTATTTGTGGAACAATAGCACTAAATGGCCGATTAATTGTATTATGTACGGACATGTTGGTAGATCAGTAAAGTACGAAGTTTTCATTTAAATTAAATATTCTGAAAAAAACATGCAAGAAAAAGAACACAAAACATTTTTTTGACTTCGTTGTGACGGGCAACAAAAGTCAACTCGCAAGTTGTAAATTCACTAATTTAGCTTCAAAACTGAAAACACTCGTAATTTTTCAATAAGTAAGTTTGATGATCTAGAAAGGCAAACTGCGGTTCAAAATTGACTTCCACTACAGCTACCATTAAGCACGGTTAATAGCATTAAGGGACCATTAACCAATCAGGTGCGTTTGATATATTCAAACCAGTCGTTTTCTCATGTTTCGATCCTTACTGTACTTCCCGTCTCTTAATCGAAACTAAAACGCTGTCTAGGATCAAACAAATTTCATAAGCTATAGCAGAGTTGTAGACTCGAGTCGCAACTTTTGTGACCTGGGACTTGACAATCAGATTAACGACTTGTGACTTGACTTAGACTTGTAAGAAATGACTTGTTACCAGCGCAGGTCAAACGTAAAGTCGTAAAATGTCTAGTGAAAATTAACTTTTGTACAAATTGCACTGGAAATTCATTAATACATACACAGTGACTAGTGCAGCCAGATTCACATACGGCACTATGACCAGTTTATGTGCGGAATCATTTGCGACTTGTCTTTGTCACAGACAAATGAGTTGTGACTTGACTTGCTACTTGGATCAAATGACTTCTGACTTGGACTTGCAAGAAATTACTTGTACTGTATCTTGACGTGACTAAGACTTGTTGACAACTCTGCACTATAGCGATTGTTGACAACCAATAACCAATATTGGCACAGCTCTATGTGATCTTTCATCCTTAAAATCGTAAAAAAGTGACACTGCCAAGTATTGTTGCAATATTTCAATTGTTTAATTTATTTTCAGACCTATTCATGATGCAGCCGACAACGGGAAAATTGATTCACTTCGATTATTGATGGCTTACGATGCTGATCCTTTTATCTCCACGTACTCAGGTCGTTCTGTTGTTGATTGTGCCAAACGTACTGAAGCGAAGGACTATATCAAAGGTCAGTGAAATATACTGTTATCATAACCAAGGTGTGGTTCGTTGTGGGTGTGTAGCATAACAATTAAGTTGAACTGCATTACATGTTACATATTGATAGTAACATTGTATTACGTGCAGAAACAGAACATGTAGGAATATCAAATTAAACAATTCACATCCTACCAAAGTTTGGGAAGTTAAAATTCAGGTGATATGTTTTACCAAATAAGATCTGTCACTGTATTTTACGTATCTCATTGGTTGACAATGGTGTAAAACTTGTAAATGTAAGAGCTCCTCGTAAACTGAGTATTCCAAGAAAATATACAGTAGGCTTTCATTTCCAAAGTTAAAGAAAATTGAAAATCTGGTTATCTTTAATTCTTAATTAAAGATAACCAGATAACCTTTAATTCTGGTTATCTTCAGGCCCACACTGGTGAATTGATCATAATGTAACTGGAACCTGATAGTTTTAGAGAAAATAATCGAATATAAAATAAATGCTTGTATTGATTGCATTTGCATGATAATCATAACACTATTGATGGCTTTGATATAATTACTATTTGTGGCTTTCTTTTATCCAGCATGTATTGGTGATTTATATCTGAACGACGAAAGAAATACCGTCGCCGGCGTTGATCACGAGGTGAGGATATCACGAAATATAATATTTAGTGTTTGTGAGCGTTTTTCAGCTCTTGAAAGGTAAATCACACTCTTATTTTGCTTTTTAGAACCGTTGGGATTTTCGTGGCTCCAGTTCTATCCTAGGTAAGTTCAACAATGTTATGATTGATTACATCTTCTAACCACTAGACTATATATAGCCTTCTGCACAAGATTTCATGTAAATTATCTATAAAGTTATTATATGAATTGTATTATCATATCATTTATTTCATTATGACATGTATTTAACTAATGCTTATGGTGCTGGAATCTACTTCTATATGTATCTTGTCCCTTAACATCCCTTTTGGAAAGAAACCAGAGTATCCATAGAGCCTTGGTTGACTCTTCATATACGAATGCCTTGGGTCCGATTTCAGAGCTACAGTAAAGGCGGTTGTTCTGATGACTCCGCCACCAAAAACCATATTACTGTACTTCGCCAACTGTTAATAGTCTATTCAGGCACGTTGGAGTAGGAAGGTTGATTTACCAAAAGCCAAAACCTAGCATGAACATCCAGAACAACCTAATCAGTACACATGTTATCTCTTTGTTGTGAAGAGGTGGTGGGGGCTAATAAATTTCTTTCTCGGAAAAGAGGGGCTTATTTGAGGGGGGGGGGGGGGGGGTTGCTTAATAGAGAATTTATGGTATTTACAGTTGGGTACTATATAATACGTGAAACGTTTTTGCTGTTGTTGTTTAGACAAAGATCGCAAATACTTGGGAGATATATTTGATAATGTGCCAAAGCAACAGTCCAACAACTCGGTTGAATTTGAATGGAGTGAAACGCCCCATTTACCAACTTATAGTCTCCCACTGGTTAAAGATGGCATAGTAGTCGGGTATGTATGCCAGGCTTTATTTGTAACGGTGACTATATCCCATTTCAATATGTTGCAGTTATAACCTACATTTCACTAAGGATTCATATTTTATTATTTATCGGCAGTGTAGTCGATATCTCACTTATATATTCAGCAACTTCTTTTACATTTCCAACATTTTGCGTCATTATCTTTTGCTAGTACTTTTACTGCATCAATATCAATGATTTATTTTACGATCTTTTTTTCAGGAGAAAAAACTACATTATGTTTCATGACTTACAGGAAGCTCTAAATAAACCGAGACAAAATGTCGTCAGATTGCTAAAACGAACCAAAATCCGAGAAATAAACTTGGCAGAATTTAAAAAAGAAGTGTCTAGCCGTTATTTCAACAAACTTAGTGAATGTCCGCCAGCTTCAGAGGAAGGGAAAGTTGAACTTGTTCCATTAAACTGGACAGTGCGAAGTTTGTTAAAGATTAAATGTGAACAGCTGGCTTTATGAGTATACACGTCGTGTCATTGTTGGCCGCCTGATGCGGAGGAATGAACCACCAAACCTCGCGTACATGACGTACTGTACAATAATTCGCATTCCAGTTTGTTACCTTGGTGATCTCCATGATACAATGGATGGAATGATTGGTATTTTAACAGCGTGTAATATACATTATGTAGATATTTTGTTAGACCACACAGAAAACGTCAAAAATGGTCAAATGTTGTCACTTTGATGTTCAATCCAGCGTCATATTTAGAGACCGGTAGTTCTTGGTTGTTTGCAGAAACGAAAAGCTTGGTTTTATTATTTACATTCCGTTTTGTTGGAACATAAAAACATACGGCGTATATTGTAAACGTGCATAGGGTACTGCAATGCAAGGTTTGAAACATCGACCTATTTACCTCAAATCAAAGATTTTTGCGTCTTCTATACCACGCCAGTATTTTTGAGCGGCAACTTGTGCCAACCAAGCTAAAGTCTGTATTCCACTTCGTTCTTCAATCGTATTGCAATATGCCGTTCGTTTTGTATTGTGTCAACGCGTTTAGTTCTGTCCACGTGCTCAGGAAAGAAAGCTATTCACTACATTTCTGTATGATACGGTTGAAGTGGAACAGGTTTAAAGTGCTTATGCATTCAAAATGATCACATAAGATACTTTGGCGAACTATGTTAGCTTGCTTCGTCTTTTGAGATATTTAACAATTTTTTATATGCAAATTATTCTCACTATGACGTCACATTGCATAATGACTTTCTCAAAAAACTTCCAGATCTTGGGATATCGTGCATCAAAATCATAAAAACTGTGCATATGTCTTCAGCTATGTTAACATACTACAAATATAAGTCGTATAAGCATAGAAATAATAAATATAAAATGCGTACTGCTATCTTTTCTCAATAGAAATATTGTCTCCACAAAGTGGAGACATGATTCGTGATCAAGTATACACATTCTATATATCTATTATTTCTATATGTATAAGTCAACGAATTTTAGCCAACTATGCTGTTTAGCTACATATAAGAGTTTGGCAAAGTATCTTATCAGTCATTTTGAATTTTCTATATACAATGTAGTGAGAAAAAAAAAGGTGTGAAATTTCGTTGCATAAGCACTTTAACAAACCTTACATCCAGTACTTCTCTGCTTGCAAATACCACATTGCTTTGCCTCGCAACTAATTTTAGGTTGTTTATTGCGATTCACTTAGTTTGGGAATTCTGAAAACTTTGTGCACCATTAACTTAGCGTGTGAATTACATATACGGGCCACTGTAGTTATGTGGGCCAGTTCCATGGCAATTTTATGGATAAAAAATATAGAAATATAAACTACACGCGTTTATCAGCTAGACTCTCTAGTGCTATAAATGCCTGAATACTTTGGTTAAAAACGTAAAAACGATGAGAGTAAGAGGTTGTGTTGATGATTAATTTATTTAGTAGGGTGAAGCGGTTAATCGATAAACCGAAAAAAAACGATGTTTTTTGAAAACCGATGTCGTTCTAGACAAAAAAACACGGAAAAAACTGTTTGAAACCCGTCATACCGCGATTTTGACAACACCTTGTCATGGCATCTTGAGTCATGATCTTTCCTAGTGCATGGTCGGATGATCACAAGATATAAACACAACATGTCTTTATCAAGTGTTTACATGGTACGAAGGCAGCCGTTTTTTATAGTCGCGATATGAGTGTTGAGTATCTAGTATGTGGACTGTTATATGCGCTATGAAAAGTGCACTGTTCAATTGGAAATATACTGGTATTGAACTGGAATATCCTGTGTTGTAAAGATTAAAGTTTGTTATTCTTGTGTTCCGTTTTTTTAGAACGGGAAAGAGTTTGGTAACTCCAGTCTATGACTAGACTCCCGCTAGTAACTCCAGACGAAGGGCCTTCGAAACGTCGAAATTCTCCTTATATATTTTCAGGTAGTTGCATCCCTACCAACGAAAGCTTGTTCATTTTATTGCCACTACCTACACTGGTAAAGACAGTTCAGGAATAGTTTGGAACCTTCCTCCTACCTCTATAAAACTAAAAGGCTTTTTTATATTTGTCGATTACATGTGACAATAAAAACTCAATGAGACAAACACTGATCATACACTTTTGCTGGAGGTAGCCTCACGACATGTTCATTGATTTTATGTTGGTTTTCCTGAATCAATCAATTTTATTGAGCACCATTATTTCAATTATATTATTTACATTAAATATTTGGATTCCTGATTTGGGTCCAAGCTAGCGGCAGTAACTAATAGCCTGAAGAAATATACAAATATTTATCTGAGAAAAGCGTAGGAAAAATCTTTTCATACCTGTATACCCACACTAGAAACTATTTTTGTTTAAAGCATTTTACAAGCCTGTCGTTGGTTTCGCTGTGACCTCCTGTATCTATTTTTCCCATTCCCTTCTAGAGGCAACTTCTGATTACACTTGAAATGTCAGGGGCCTGTTTCTTTTCCAAGTTTATAAACTGTTTCATGTGACGAAACATCCTTATAAATAATCAAACTGGTTTAATAGCTGATCAACTACTAACAAAATTTCTAACAAAACTAGTATAAAGTCTAACTCAGACTAGTTTCTTTTTAACAAAATTGTATGTCTACTTTAAATGACAGTTATGACACATCTGTACTTAAATTTCGTACAAACAGTATCTAACTATATGGTCTCTACTTCTTGACGTTATGTTCGTATAAATAAGGCAAACCAATCCTTACTATATATTTGGAAAGGTGATAATTTCTTCCTCAAACCCGCCATCAGACATTTATGGGCAGGACGCACGGTGGATGACAAAAAATGGCAGAATCTGATCTGAATTTTCAATGATGATTATGTCACCACTAAGGTTTGCGAGAGATGCACCTGAATTATCTTGCTGGCGCCATACTTTCTTGGAATTATATCCTTGCGGAATGTTAACATTCAGCGTAGAATTCACATACTCCTTTCCAGGCAGGATACGGCACAGCAGGAGCCCTTTACCATATTTCAAACTAACTGAGGGAAATTCTGAAAAATAATTTCCTCTTCCATAAACTTGTCTCTTAGCATATACGAGTTGCAAGTTATCTTTCAAAATGCTGTCTATGTTAGCTGGATCTGTTCCGTGGTAAGCCAAAATTTCTTTATCGGATATGCCTTGCGTTCTGAAACTACGCTTTGTTGCTTCGAACTTTCCTTCAAGAACTTTGTTTATGACGATGTCGATTGATGAAATCTCAGCATCCTCCGGCGGTAAGGATATATGTCGGCCTTTCGTGAACGCCATTCTTCGGAAGTGAGACTCGGCAAAACTATAATACATTTCATAAGGATCGTGAAAGTCCACTGTCCTTTTCGCTTTCCTGTTTGTTATAGAAAATGGCGTTGAGGTTGGTAGTTTGGGGAATGGTGGTAGTGGGTTGTCTGACTTGGAAAAATGAATGACGTATTGTGGCAGTGCTTGATCGGGATCAAAAATCACAAACTCATCATTCTTGACAGCGTAACCTCGAGGAGCAAAAATTGAGTCGTATTTCTGATCTCTCAATTTCTTTTTGTTTAACTTGTTGTCTGCTACACGTACACTCTTTGATTTTCCAAGAATGACCTGACATAGAAGAAGTTTACCAGATCCTTTGGTGTAAATTTTTTGCGCGCTTTTCGATGAATCTGTGGCGAAGTAGATTCCTTGACCGAACATACCACGTTTACCATCCTGAGGATTCTCATCTGGTAGTCGAAAACCATTTTCCGTAATGCCTTTAACGCCTTCATCTGATGTTCCATGAAACTTTGTATCGATGTAATCTCCAAATGCTCTTGATTTGGCTTCTTCAAATTTCTTTTCTAAAACGAGGTTGGTGACTTTCTCAATCTTAGTGATTGCTGGAAACCAGTTGTGACAGGGCTGGATAAATTTCGTAACTTGATCTTGAACTTTCATGTATTCTGCGGCAGTAGGCTCCGTGCTGTGAATCTCTTCCACTATAAACGTTGGGATATCCTTTTTAGTTATTTTTGCTTCGAGCTGTCTAATTCTAGTCTTTGCTGCTTTCCTGAATTCACTCAACTTCTTTTTGTGAATGCCTTGACAGTATTGACAATTTCCTTGATCGCAGTCGTCTCCACAGGCGTTGTTGCAAGGATGACCACAACTTCGAAGCTTTCCACATGGCTTGACTGGACATTTAACATCGCTCTCGTTTTCATAACATTTCTTCTCAATCTGATGCTCGCATATACCATTGAAGTATACAAGTTTGTCGCAATCCCACGTAATCTCTTCGAAACACTTTTTCTTCGTAGGCGAAGGGTGACCACATTTGACGAATTTGTAGTCGATGGATTCTGGACAGTGGTCATGATCATGAGTTTTTCCACACTTTTGTTTACACCGGTGCTCCCCACAGGAATTTATTTCTTCGCATTTATGATCGCATGATACATCTTCAATCTTGGTATAACATTTTCTCTCGGTCTTGTGTCCACATCGAGGGAAAGTGACCGCGACAGGTATATCACAAAGGATATCACACGTTCTCTGATGACACTCTTTCCTCGCACCATGCCTACATGGCAATATTACTTCCACTTCGGTTTTACAATGATATTCAGAAATGTCCTCGGGACATTTGCGTTTTAATGTATGGCCACATTTTGGAAAGTTATCAAGAACAATTTCTGGACATTTATCGTGCTGATGATGAGGGAAACATGGCTTCTTGCAGCTATGATGAGGAATCTCACAGGAGTATAGCTCACCACACAGTTTGTTACATAAGTGTTTAGGATTAGCTATAACTTCACAGATGCTTTCTGCATTAACAGCTTCATATTTGGACAGTTCTCCGTGTTTGGGACACTGAAGTGGGAGAGCATACCCAGCACATCCAAAGTCAATAATTTTCGTTATAAACTTGTACCAACACGATCCTTTCGATTCTGCCAAAGTGCTTAAATTTCCAACGAAGTACATTCCACATTTCGCTCTCGACTGTGCAACGCAACGCCGATTCATTTCTTTAAGAAATCCAATTGCTCCACGATTATTTGACCTGACCAGGGATATAAGAACGTATTTATTTTCATCACCTTGATACATATCGATTGTTTGCACTTGAATGGAACTTTCTTTTTGCATTGTCTCACCGTCCTCGTTATATTCAGAATCCTGAAAAAGCTCTGGTTGTTTATTCTTTTCTTGTTTTAACATTTTTCTCAAAAGCTTAGTCTGTCCTAGATAAGCTGCAAGCACTGTGATCTCAGATGGACAGCAACCATTGTTAAGAAGGTATATAACAAGTGCTACAATGCGTTCTGCTTCTTTGATATTGGTATAGGTGCGATCTTTCTTTTCTGGATCTTCATGGTTCCAGAAAAACATAGACTTCCCGATGCATTTTAATGGCTCATTATTAACAGACACCAATGGAAGATTGTCCTCTAAGTTTGGATAAATGTCGCGTAGAAGTTCTGAAAATTCTGGACGCATGCGGTTTTGCTTTCTAAGCGACTTGAAAGGGAACTCAGATTCGATTAATCTCTCCATCATTGAAACATCAAACTGAAAGTTTCGACATAGTTCGTACGTATCCACTTGCGGTCTGAGTTGCTTATGATCTCCAATAAGAATCAGATGCTCAGTAGATGACGTCAAGGCGGCGAGAAGACTTGGCTCTAGAATTTCAGCGGCTTCTTCTACGATTACAACATTTGGACCAATAGCGTGAAGTAGATCGTGGTTAATAGACGCACCAGTTATAGTCATCCCAATAATCTTCTTTCGAGACAAGATTCCAATTTTCTTACTCATCTCCAATTCTTGCTTGCATCTCTTTAAATACCAAAGTTCATGGATAAGTTCGTTGAACGTTTCGGTAATCCTCGATGCTTTTTCTTCCAAGATACAATATAAGAATTGCCATCTGTGAATTTTATCTAAATTCCAAAGATTCTTGGCCGTGCGGATTGCTGGGCTCGCTACTAAATTGTCGGGATAGTCAGATGTTTCAATCAAAATAGTCTTGCCGTCCCTTGTTCGGATAGATGAAAATAATACCAAGCCAGACTTTTTCTTTTCTTTTTCTTCTTGTTTACCTTTATTGTCTGAAACCATTCTTGCTTCTAGTAATTGATTCACATAATCTTCATCTTCGCTATCTTCGTCACTGCTACCATCGCCACCATCGGCTTCGTCATCTCGTGATTTGGTTTCGATATCCTGACGTATAAATGCCGCTTGTAACTCTTTCATACGCCTGAGCTCTTGCCTATCGGGCAACCATGCTTGTAGTGCTCCTGTAAAAACATCAAAGCACAATTTGGCGTCTTGGTCATCTTTTTGGCAGATAGAATTCCATTCGAGGCACTTCTTAAATGAACCATATCGTTTGGAAACGTCGTCTATAGCATTCTTGATGCATGATCTGGGAACTTTCCTGCCGTTCACTTGGTAAACGGAATGTGATTCTCTCCAGTTTATATCTAAAATAAGTGATTGTAACTGCTCATCTGTCAGCTCGTTAATCAAACTGGATTTCGTCAGGCAACTTTTTGAGTTAAAAGATAACGACATGCTTTTGATTTGTGTCTCTGTAAATTCGATACTTTGTCGGGTTTCTCGTATCTCATCAGATAAGGTTTTGGAGAACAACTTAGATGCCGCCATGGATTTCATGATTGATTGCAGATTACACGACTCGAGTTCTGGCTCTTTTGACCTTCCTCCAATTCGAACCAGGTCAGCCTTGTCGCAAAAGTTCAACATGTGTTTCAGAAACTCGTCAAGGGCGTGGTTCTTGTATGTCAGCAACAAAATTGGCTTCTCAAGCTTGGGAATGAGGGATAACAGCAGTTGTACAATTTTTACTCCAATAAATGTCTTCCCACAGCCAGGCGGCCCTATACAAATGAATAAAAATTAAGAAATGTTTCATGATTTGGCGTGCTCATTCGAGTTATTGAGCACGCGACAATTTGGGAGAGCACGAAAAAACGAAAGAGATGGTCGAGGTGCGAGAACAACTCTAACGCTTGAGTGCTCTCCCAACCTCACAATGTTCTCACTGGTGTATATTGTTGTTCATAATTAAAATAGTTCTGGCATATAGTGACATGCACTATATACTTAGCTGTTTTACGAACGTAGCTATTCTAAATTTGAGTAGGTTATCAAGCTTTAAAATCTCGACCAATCTGTAATATTGATTAAGATCCTCCTGCTTTATGTATCTCATAATTGCATGGTCCATTTTCGAATTATATGTTTAGGGTATATAAATTAGAGTGTAATACCAGTTACGAATATTAAGATAGCGTCTTAGCCTAGATTATTATTGACAAGTGTAATTTGGTTATGTCATTGCAGAAGTTCATCGATGTAAATTCCTAAATATTTAATACATCTTTTTTGGCTAATATTAGGTATGTTAATGTATTTGTCTATGGTATTGAAGTAAATTAGCATATAGTTTGTCTTTTTAAAATTTATTGTGAGTTTATTTGCCATACAATCTTCACTGATAATATTTACTTAATTCAGTACTTATCAGGTATTGAAGTTAGAAGAATAAAAAATGTTTATGTCATCAGCAAATATTCTAAACTTAAGTATATCACTACAATTAAGGAGGAATAAAAGTGGTCCTAATATTTATCCATGTAGAATACCACATTCGACTAGTTGCTCATTTGACTTTGCATTATCATTGATTAAATTGCCTGCCATATCTTTTTGATCAACATGTTTCACCATTTCTAATCAGTTCAGTAAGGATATTTGTTCTTTTGTATATTGTTGTACATGCTCCGAACTTCTTCTTCAATAATATTAATATATTATTTCGCAGAAGTTGAGCAGTCAGAGGCGTAGCCAGAATTTTCAGTCAGAGGGGGCCGGCAAAAACCCAGGTGGGGCCAAGCCGCCAGTGACTCGAGACGCAAAGTTCGCGCAAGAAAAAATTTTGCGAACCACACAACATTTTAAATCTCCCCCCCCCCCCGATTTCCGTATCACTTTTTCCGATGCTTCACCACGAAGATTACGACAACATTCCGACAAGAGAACGAAGTCGGACGACGACGACGTGGACCGTGGTTGACAATTTTTGCCTGTCTTGCACATTATCTTACGCATTCTGAGTTTAGGGTCAGGCGTGAAGACAAATTAGAGATTTATGTTTAGCTGTTTATGAGTGCTGACCCAAATCCTTACCCTGATCAGGACAAAACAGCGAGACATGAATCCATATCTCGTCTTCGTTCTTCTGCCTTCGTTCACAACGAAAAATTCACAAACATTTTGGCAAAATTCGCTGTGAACTTCGTTCCGAACGAAGGCAGAATGACAAAGACGGGATATAGTTTCATGTCTCGCTGTTTTTTTCTGGATCAGGGCAAGAATTAGGGTCAGTATTCATAAACAGGGAAGACACGTTGAGCAACCACCAGTAACGTCCAACTCAGTATGCGCAAGATAATGTGCAGACGGCAAAAATTGGCAAGTACGCCTTCGTCTTCGTACTTCGTTGTCTTGTTCAAACTCTCTATTGACAATTTTCCGACGGGTCTCAATTTTCCGACGGGTCTCCCACTCCCCCTCCCCTCCGGCAACGGCGCCACTGCCGAGTCCGCATTAAAAATTCACTTGTAAAAAAACAGATTGGTTTAAACTTCATCGAACCCACATTTAATACATATTGAAATAATTAGGGTTAGAAAAGGTATGTGTTTCAAGCTGTGTGCCGCAAATAAGCGAACAAGTGATTTTAGGTTTCACACCGATGCCCATCAAAGCATATATTCTACAGAATTTTTGCATTATTGACAGCATGAGGCTATATAATCAAGGATTCCCTTTTTTATACAATATATTTTATCAGGGGCCCCCCAAAATTTTGCCAGGGGGGTCGCTCCCCCCCCCCGGCCCCAGCCCTGGCTACGCCTCTGTGAGCAGTACGTTTTCGCCAGGCAAAATTATTCCATCAACATATTTCAACACAAATACTTCAATCCAAACACGATTCAACTGTACCAATAGTGGCATATTAAGTTTCAATTCAGATTATTATTATTATTTTATTATTATTTAAAAATATTTATACACGGTACCGGTAGCCTTTCACTTGCGTGATTTTCGAAGGGCCGTGTGTTTTAAAAAAAGAATTACAACATTTAACTAAGACATTACATTACAAACTATTACAAAGTTTCACAATAATTATTAAGTAAGCTACGAAAAGAAGAAATATATTGGGATTCGTCTACCACTCGTAAAAGTTCAGAGGGTAGACTATTCCACGCGACAGCCCCACGGTAGGAGAAAATTCTTTTTTAAAAAATCTGTTTTTGGCTTAGGAAGGCTCAATTTTAAATTGTTACTCGGTATTGAGTTGTTACATTTACGAAACATTATTGTTAAGTAATTAGGCGCCATGTTTTTTTAGAATTTTGAACATCATTGTAAGATCTCGTTTATCCATGAGATTTTTTATTGGATGCCATTGAAGGGTTTCAAAGACTTGGGATGATCTAATAGTGTAGTCAGAACTAGTTAATATAAGTTTGTAATTTCCATAATTTATCGAAATATGGGATTTGTTATTATCATGCCAAATAGTAGAGCAATAGTTAAAATGCGGTAAGAAATGTGTTATAAATTGTAACTAATTCTTCTTGTAAAACAAAGTTTAGCTTTTTGTAAAAGGGCTATGCTTTTTGAAATTTTCTTACACTGTTCATCATTGTGCCTGTTCCATTTTAATTTGTCATCAATTATGAGTCCAAGAACACTTTTTTCCCTTACCCTTTTTATCTGATGTTCGCCATATAGTATCTTTGGAGTTTCGAGGATTTTATCTAACCTTTGTTGTGTTACAATATATAAGCATATACTCAGTTTTCTTACGGTTTAATGTTAACCATTTCTGAATATTGTCAAGGTTCGAGTCCTGTGGGACGCCACAATGAATTTCAACTGCATCCGATACGGCATTGTTTATTTTGCAAACTTGTTTTCTCTGATGTAAGTAATTAAGATTTAAACAATTTTAGAGGTGTTTCTCTTACTCCATATCGTTCAATTTTTACCAGGAGTAGAGCATGATCAACCGTATCGAATGCATTTTTAAGATATATAAATACTACTCCGTTTATCAGTCCTTTATCCATATTGTCCAAATAATTGATTATTGAGTGTAAGAGAGTAGTCTCTGTTGAATGATTTGGACGAAAACCAGATTGATTTTCAGCCATAACTTTGTTTTCATTCAGAAAGGTAATTAATTGGCTATAAATAACTTTTTCGAAGACTTGAGCTACATTTGATATAATCGGGAAATTGGTTTATAATTACCGCAGTCTGTCTTACTTTCGGATTTATAGATTGGCGTATTAACACGAGCAACTTTCCAATCATCTGGGAATACACCATTGAATATATTTTTCGAAGACTTCAAAATAGTTTTCCCTGCTAGATCGGAAGAGTTTGACCGAGATTTTATCACTTCCTGCAGATAGAGCTGGGCGCCGGAGCCGGAGTGCCGGAGCCGGAGCTCCGGCATATTTTGCCGGAGCCGGAGCCGGAGTTGGAAAACTCCAGCAAAAAATCCGGCAGACAAAATTATGAAAAATTATTTCATATTTCAACAAACATTTGGCATTAAATGGGAAAATTAAGTTGTTGTTTACTAATATATTTATTTACTATTTATATGTTGTTTTACTATATATTACTATGTGGTTTACTATTAATAGTGTTTTAAAAAGGTTTTTAAAAAAGATAAATTCTGAAATTACACTGAAATACTTTCGCCTGCTTCCACTTTTAAATATGGAATTTCCTTAAACATTTCTTGCCGGAGCCGGACCCGGAGTTTTGACTGCCGGAGCCGGAGCTAAAATAGCCGGAGTTTGCACAGCTCTACCTGCAAATTTTCAGGTTTTCATACTGGAAATAATGCGGTTTACATCCTCTTCTGATATTGTTTTGAAAGTAAATTAATTTGACACTGTAGTCACATAATGTAAAGTGTCAATATCGTTATCTAGGAATTTCTTCTGCTAGTTTTTTGCCTACTTCAGAGAAAAATTTATTGAATTCCTTTGCAATTTCTTCATCGCCTACTATTGTTTTGCCATTCATATTAATCTCGTAATTCTCGTTGATCGTTGTTGTTTTAGATTTCCGATTTAATAATTCATTAATTGTTTGCCAATTCTCTTTACTGTTTATACTATTGGCTAGTTTAGAGTTATAATAAAGTCTCTTTGTTTCCTTGATGCATTTGTTTATAGGCCTGGAAATAGTAAGGTGAACTCAAATTAACCGCTTTCTTTTTTAAGTAATCTCTGTGATAACTCTGTTTCTCAATCTCATTAGTCATCCATCGGCAATATTCACTTTTAATCCTTCTTTGTCTAAGTGGGGCATGTTTATTTGCGATTTCAAAAAGATTTCTTTCCAAGTTTCCCACGCCTTGTTTGGATCGATGAAAGTCGAGAAAGAGCTGGATGCTTCACTTAAATAACTCTGAAATCGTAACGTGTTGAAATGTTTAAATTGTCTAGTTTCTATTAATTTAGGGGTTTCTTTCTGATTGGCAATTTTACGGCATATTGCCATATATAAACAAGACTGTGATCGCTAATCCCTAAATGTATGACCCCTAAGTCAATGCTTTTAGTATCTATAAATTACTCTTATATTTTTATTTACATAAATACCTGCACAACCAGCATTTGTTGAGGAATAAGGAATTGTCATAGTAAAAATTATAATTTTCTAGACCAGGAGCAATTGCAAAAATGAAACTGTAGGCCCTCTGGGGCTCTGGCAGGAATCGAATTTGCAATTTGTGATTCTGGTGCAGCGATCTAACTAACTGAAGTGAAGAGCTCAGTTTCCGAATTTTAACCACAACTTAATTCATGTATATATTCTAAGGTGATTCCAATGTAAGGTATATGGGTGAATATCAGTATTTTAGGCATCTCACACGATAGAACTAAGTCTAAAGAACATTTAATTCTATCGAGTGAGATACCCAAAATTCTGATATCTAAAAAACCCAGTATTCCTTCACATTAAAAGTGCACTTTAATTTGAAGTTAATATACATTTAGGCGTTTTTGCAGACTACAATCTCCCCCATTTCGTAATTAGCTTCAAATTAAAGTACACTTTTAATTTAAGAGTGAAGAAATACCGCAGGGGGACTGGATTAAGAACTGTGTTTGTATCAGTTTCTGGTAAACTTCAACACTTGAGCTCCCTATTAATACACATGACATCAACTACTTTTGTTTACCTTGGATTATCGCCAACTTGTTCTCAAGAGCGTGTGTGAGGGCTGCACATTGGCTTTCCTCTAGAGGTGTCTTCATTGAATTAGATTTGAAGCTTTCCAGAAACTCTTTAACTTCCATTCGTTTTCCGGGATACGATATGCCAGGATAACGTGGCCGGTACGTAGCCAACGTGGAAATAACAGAGGGGTCCAAAGTCCTGTCTTCACTGAGGTATTTAGGCAGTTCTTGAGTAGGAGAAGGTAAAGTATAAATAACCTCATCTTGCAGTGGAAAGTTCTCCATATTAAATCTTTTTAAACTTTTCAGGACTGGATTGAGTGCGTGATAGTACGTTGGTGATTCCACCATCACAGCTGAACCTGGAATAAATGTATTATAATGTTAGTAATTCTGACTACACGCGTAAAAACGAACAACCGGCATGTGGGACCATTGACATCGACAAGCTTGAACAAGGTTGTGTTGCAGCCTATGAACGTCTACAACTGAACAATGCTGTAACAAGTTGACAACACTGTTGACAACTTGCTCTTAGGCCGGGTGCAGCACAACCTTCTTCAAGCCTGTCGATATCAACTGGGAACAGGTTGTTCGTTTTACGTGTATAGTGACGATGGCTCAGTCATGGACGGATTTACTTGGGGGTGGGGGAAGGGTTAGGAGGTGAACCCCCTAGATCTCTCTAACCTCCCTTATGAAGTGTTCAACCCCACCAAAATTTTACTTCATCCCCTCTATTTTGTGTGAATGTCTTTAACCCTAGCTGACGCCTAACCCCTTGTTGTGGTTGAACAATCTGGTTCCAAGACATTTTTGCTGGCTCCGTGAACATCCCGACGTTTTAAGGTAAGCTAACCTATATAACATGTTTGTTTATACAATATATGTTCATGATATTGTGCTCGCTCTAAATACTCCTAGCACTCTGAAATACTACGAAGTTGCTCTATATAAATCATATTATACCTGAATTCGCTTGTAATGAGTTTAGAATTTCACTCATATTCTTTAAATTCTCATCAGTGACCTCCACCATAATGACCTGATGTTCATTCAGCACATCAGTGTCCCTGTTGGAGACTGTCGCCCATATGACGTCATCAAATTTTCGGTTGAGAGAAATACACACCAAGTTGCCAAACATGAGTTGTGGTGATGCTTCCCACCTCTTGACGTGTCTAGCAGAAGTGAAGTGAATTGCGAGGGAAAACCGACCATAGTGAACTTCAAACCCGGCTAAACTAACATTATGATACACATTCATATCACGTTGATCCAGTTTGCCAGCCTTGAGGTCTTGAATACCGTGCTGTATTGCAGAAAACGTCTCTGCACGCAGCAGTCTGAAGTAGGTATTCATATATTCATCTGAGCTTTCATACCCTGTCTCAGTATTCACAGGAGAAAGATGTTTATGTTTTTCAAGAAAGTCCCGAGTTAACTCGTGTTCACTTGGTATTAACGGTAGATCCTTCCATTCTTCAACTTCTGACATGTTTTCTCCAGTCAATGTAATAGAAATGATGTCGCATAAGAAGTTAGTTTGTGGGTTAGGTGTTTTTTCACTCAGAGCAGTAATGGTAGGCAAGAGATAACGACCGACAGAGGGAACCTAGCAGATAAAAAGATGGTTTAATAACTTAGAACATTGTTGTCTTATTTTGCTGAATAATGCTTAGGTTTATGCAATTATTTTAGGCCGCTTGGGACAGATTGCTTGAATAAAAATTAATCTGCACACGCTACACAGATACATTGTCATTGAAACCAAATTACAATATGTTCATTTTCACCATTTGACCAATTGTCGGACAGACTAATTAATATTTATGATTATTTAGACCAATTTTTTAAACTTTTCATATTTTTCAACACTTAAAAACTGGCTCACGTTCACTTTAAATGCTTGTTTGTAACAAGCATTTAAAGCTTCAAATCGACTCAGGCAATCTGAGACTAAGAGGGCGTCAATGCCAATGGGGTGACATGCCATTTTTCGAGTAGAAAGAGTATAAATTTGAAAATATTAACTGTCAAGAGTATAAAAGTAGCCGCTTATATATTCCACAAAATATAGTACCATGTCCATGAGAGACTTTTTAAAACTTTTGAAAATTCAGAAAACCAAAGACGTCAAGGCCGCATCCTTTGTGTTGTATAATTGTATTATATGCGAGTAGTTATATATAGAAAGAATAATTTGTCAATTCTCGCGTATAGATGGTTCGATTTTTAGTTGTTTAGACAGTTCAGTTTTTGTTTCACTTGTCAATTTTGTCACAAAAGTCGTCAAAAGCTAAATCAGGTGTGACCATATGTTTATACACGCTACGATTTCCCTGCAATGCCATATTGGAAAAATCTCCTCAATCGTCGCTAAAAGAAGACCATATGACAAATGCCCACAAACAACGTCAATTTTTTTTGCAAGAAAATATTAAAGTTATAATTTAGTATGATACTAGTATACCTGGCATATTACACCACGACAGAAGTTCCGTACGAGCGTAGCAGCGAAAAAATGTTTCCAGTCTTTGGAGTAAAACTTATCAGACTGGCTACCACTGTAATGACAGGACTCGATAATGATAGGAAGGCATTGCTCACTTGTACTTTGAAACATCTGTCCATGTATTACAGCTTTGATCATGTGCTCAAGAAGTATTTTATAGTGTTTCCCATGATGTAAAGCTAGGGTTAGTAAGCGGAGAAAGGCTTCAGCATAGTTCATTCTTGAAAGTTCATCTGTAAAATTACAACAAATAAGTAAAGCAACCAACATCAGATCAATAATGGTACAACTGGCAACCTCTCCAGCTCTCCCTACGGACACTTCACTAATTCGGTATCTCTCTATTAATACCGACATTTCCTCACGTACTGTACTAATTTTTAAAAACCTCAAACTTTATTTTTAAAACCTCAATAATATAAGGGACCTATCTAATAAGAGTACCTATTTTTATTGTACTGGTTACACAATACACATCGTAAAATAGATCTGACACACATGTGACCCAATTTAGGACTCGTGATTGGTCAATTGTTTCCACAACCACCTGTGTAATGAACCAATAGTGCTAAACAGCACCTATAGAACTCTATAGTAAACTAAAACAATTCCATACTGATTAATGCAGTGGTCCGCGTTATTAGCTAGGAGCTATCAAACACCTAAAATACACAAGAAAAACGGGAAAATTTACCAAAAGAGTTTTTTTAAGAACAGAGAATTGCAGAAACCAAACGGGTGTATACTGAATTGTTGATTAAATTTCCAGCCCTAATATTTTAGCTACATGCAGTTACAGCAAAATACTCAGTTACAGCAAAGAACATTGTATGTCGGTCATCTAACACTTGCTATACAAGTCTGCCTCTGGATTGGTTATTTTCTCGTAGCTTTTTATGCCAGGGTTCGAAATAGCCACCGGCTGCTGGCGATAGCCGGCAGTTTTACGACCTTGCCTGCGATTTTTTATTTCAAAGCATACAGCAGGGGATCGACAACCGCATACTTTAACGTAGCTGTAAATTGACTCCATGGATCTGTGGCCAAGCTAGGCTCTGGAAGATAAAGCTGGAGGAAGCACGAGAACTGTGGCACTGATTGAGCTGTGTCTCTGCTGCCCGTACGGCAATGCAGTCTGCGATTCGTTCATTTCATACTTGCGTGTAGTCAAGACTGACTGGTGCAACCGGTTGAACTATATAACGCAACTTGACTGATTTAATGCGCAATAAAGTGACAGGTCCAACCCTGCATGTTTGCCGTGAGCGTTTTGGTGAGCTTGCGGTGGACCTCTGGAATAGTGATAAATCACGGAGGAAGACCCAAGGAAACGAAAGCAATATGCTGCAAGAGCAAACGCAAGGCATCAAAGAGGACAGGAGAGACAGAGAGGGAATAATTCCTAAGAGATTGGTTGAAAGACGTTGGAGCTGAGGGCGAAGAAGAATTGGAGAGTGATTAAAATGAAGAGAAGATGAAAGCTGATGTATCGAGGACGATGCCCCAGAACCGAGTCAAGAAATTTCGTTAGTTCACTCTACTCTACTCAGTGGTCGGACAGCTCCGAAGACAGTGATCGTGAAGACCCTCTCTTGCATGGGCGGAATGAGAAGCAGTGACTCTGAGTGACCGTGACTGGTGATCCCAACTAAACTATAGTACTCTAGTGTCTATAGTGAGAGGAATCCAAAATGAACTGAGCACCATGGTGATTGTGTAAACAGTGACGGATTTTTAGTCGTTTACGACGTATTTATAAATTTATTAAAATAGATTATTTAACTTCCCTAGCTTAATAGAACCGAACTTAAACTTTTTGTATAAAACACAACAATATTTTCTTATTGTTTTGAACTGATTCACAAAGAACTTGTTAACGTCTGTTCCTGCACCAAATAAAATGTATTGCTGTGTTCTTACAAATGTTGTGTTGGTTTACATCACTATTACTTGGCCTACGGCTATGCCCACTCCAGAACATAACTAAACTTTGCTTAAAAAAAGCCAGCAAAAATTTTCACCTACAAAAAACAGCCTACAAAATTCGATCCCTGTTATGCGCTTGAGATGATAAACTTGTTCCATTGGTTACGACTGCAATATTGAGACAAAGCTGTCGTAAGTATGTTCGAACAAAAAACCTTGCTACTCCAGAGATATAGGAGCGAGTGATATAGACATTGAGAAAGTCTACCTACCTGTCTGTGCGATAAAGACGGGTGAAGCAAGGAAACTCCACATGGTTATATTTGGTAATATTTCAACAAGCACTTTGTTGTTGCAAATATTAGAATTCAAATCCGTGATTAACTTTTTAATGTACTGAACTACATCATCGTACGTTCGTGGAGAATACTGGGATATTCTTGCTTTTCGTGCCATAGGTTTGGACTTGTCTCGATCACTGAGTAAAAATTCCATGATATCACCTCCCTTAGGAGGTAAAACGTACTTAGATATGTTGTCAGGATACATGAACACGTCTTTGGTTGTGTCATAGCCATAAGGAAGATTGTTGAAAGGTTTTATAAAGCGTGCTTTATCGTTTTTTATTGTACATAGTCTTCCCCGATACCACTGTGGAGCATTTTTGACTTCCCACCCCTCGTTTGTCCATTTCGTCCTTGCTGTTGCCATGTTTTAATCAACACCTAAATACAAAAGATGGTATGAAAATATAATGTATCGTCAATGAAAATGTGTTCATATATCAAGAATAGCATTTTCTTTCTAAAACAACAATAAGGTAACAATAAGTTTTTATGATCATGCACCCCTTGCCGTGAGTACGCGCCGAGCCAGAAATTAGCAATGTCAATGTTCAATTTTTTAGTTTTTTGTATACTGTAAAATAACTTAAACGGCACAGGCAAGTAAGCAGGTGTTATCGAAGCGTGTCATCCACGTACATCATAGTAATAATATGGTTTCTCGTCGAATTTGGAAAAACAAACAATTTGGAAAGACATCAAACTGCACTCGTCCTTAGTTTTCCACTAGCGAATTTTTTCGCGCGAAGAGATCTTTTTCCTTTGCCGGCATCCATTTTGCCACGTCTTGCTGACGTAATAAGTGATACCGGAAAAAGGACGCTTCGCGCGAGAAAATTCGCTAGTGGAAAACTAGACTTGCTCCAAGTCTCTCTTTCATTGTCATATAGTATCGATCCACTATAGTGTACATTACATGACGTAGCACGGAGAGGCGGAGCGAGAAAGAGAGACTTGTCAACTTCGGAAAATCTCGGTTCAAAACTGAACCGAAAATGCAAGACTTTTTTAATTGTTTTCCTTCAATTTCTTTCTGTATTTACTGTAATGGAACTCGTGTTATTTACACTATGCTAGATCAATACATATAAACACGGACAGAAAACAATTAAAGCAAGTCTTGCATTTTCGGTTCACTTGGCAGAGCATTGGGCTAGTATTCCAAAGGTCGTAGGATCGATTCCCACCGTGGTCAGGCATATTTTTCAAGCTTGCTCGGTGTGGATATACACTCAGAGTAACATCACAAGCATCATATTGACCTAAGTACACTACACCAACACAGAAAAAAAAAATTATAAAAACTATAGTAACACCTGTAGAAATTATTGTTACGAAACAAAATTTGCTTCCCAAGAGCTACAATCCTGGCAAAAATTATGTGGACACCTAACTTTCCTAACGCCAATATTAACATTGAGACGTTCTTTCGTGAAATTTGTCACCCCCTGCCCCCTATTCAATGTTGTTTCTCGCATTCAAATTTTAAAAGTTTCATTTACCAACATTGAGTTGGGGGTAGGAGGGGGAGAAATTTTCTGGCGGATTAATTATGTAGAAATATATCTATTTTTGTTTGACGCACGCGCTGTCCACGATAATTTTTTCCAGGATTGTAGCTAGGACACAACGTTTTCTAGTTTTTCCACCATTGGGAAACATGACTAAGAAACAATGCTTCCTGGTTTGTCCACCTTCAGGAAACATGGCTAGGAAACAATGTTTCCTGGTTTGTTCACCTTCAGGAAATATGGCTAGGAAACAATGTTTCCTGGTTTGTCCACCTTCAGGAAACATGGCTAGGAAACAATGTTTCCTGGTTTGTTCACCTTCAGGAAACATGGCTAGGAAACAATGTTTCCTGGTTTGTCCACCTTCAGGAAACATGGCTAGGAAACAATGTTTCCTGGTTTGTTCACCTTCAGGAAACATGGCTAGGAAACAATGTTTCCCAGTTTCTCGACCTTCGAAAGCTTACGGTCTACAAACATTTCCATCCTTACCTGAAGTATAATCCTTTATGCCTTTTATAGTATAATCCTTTATGCCGGTGGGTTTCAGTATGAAACAAAAAATTCTCCTCTTAAAAGGTTTTACAGAACTTCGAGAGAAGAAATAATCGATTATCAAGGGATTCAAGTAGGTTTAAAATAAATACAATATTATTTCAATCATAACTCATAGAGGGCCCCCCTGTGGACATAATTATCGAAAAGATGACACTGCATTCCAAGTATGAAGTAATGACACAGAATAGGAACATAACCGTATAAAAGGGGTTTTACCGAAATGCGTTGCTTCAAAACGAAAGCTTTTGTTGTGAACATTGCTGTCTGATTCTATGCTACATTAGTGATACTTTTCGAGGTTTTTATGTTAAATCTGATTTTCTTCGTGAAATACTTGGCTTTGCAATGGTGGAAGTCGCAGAGAGGACGGTAGGAAGGCCGCCATATCTCGTTCGTCTTGTTGGATGGATAATGTTATTAATACTTTACTACGTGCAAGTTTATCTTTTCGTCTTCGTTTTGGCAAAATATCTGAACGGTTTATATGTTTTCTGGTTTATTTGGTTTGTACCGGCATTACTTTATGTCTTGTACGCCTTTTATGATAAGAAAGTCAAGAAAATGATATACGCAGACAACGACGTAGCTATTTGGGAAGTTTGGTTTACCTGTGGACTATATATTGTTCCTTATGTCATTACAGTTGCCATGATTTTTGGTAAAGTCGCACACAAGCTTACTAAAGATAACGTTCTGGAAATCAACACACTGATATATACGATGTGTATTACCCCATGGTTGCTAATCCTCCTGCTACAGCTCGCGATTTGTCCATCCTACCAAAAGCCTGTCCTGTCGCTGTCTATATTTGCCGCACTGAATATCTTCGATGGCATTGAGATGTTGAAAATAATCCTGATGCAAAATGAGGGAAACTATGACATAGACGGGGAGTTAGAAATATGCATTGTTTTCTTCGCCTGCTTGTGCTTTTTGGTCTCACCGCTTGGTTTGATTCGAAATAAATTCGTGGGTAATGGGGAAGTAAAACAAAGGAAAGGAATGTCTATGTTACTTATACCACTGGAAATTATTGGCATTAACTTCTCATTTTTGGTTTTACGTCTCGCCCTTTGGCATAAATCGGAAGCCCCTCTTTTCATTGCAAAGAATACTCTTGCTATTGTGACTGGGGGAATTGAGTTCTTCCATCTTAAAGCCGAGATGTGAAAATGCGGAGAAAACTCAACTTGAGGACAAGTACACAATATTTGAAAATAAAGACACTGTTTGTGTTTGTGTGACTGTTCCTCAAATTACTGTAATTTTAGGCATTTTACACGAGACCATTTTTGCTGCAACTAACTTGCAACGCAATTTCTGATACAGAGCTGTGTTATCTAAAATGTAGTTGATGGGATATTGCAAGTGTGGTTTCTGCCAACATTTCCAGTTACATAATATTGGACACTGATTTCTGGCAAGTTTATAGATACAAAGCAGCCTAGTCCCAGGCTCTCTCTCTATTCGCTGCTTTAATATATTTAAATAAGTCTTAAAAGTTTTCGGCCTGGGTGTGCTGTGCGGAACGCTACATCACACCTAGGTCCCAGTCTCGTACTACATTCACGTCTTTTCTCGCGCTTGCTTCAGAACAACTGGGACTAGGCTGGATACAAAGCTCATGTTTCAATAAGACACGCATTAATAAAATATCCCTTGACCTTTGTCATGACAACTGCGATGATATGTCGTTCATATTGGCATATATTTTTTAGTAATTTTTTAATATTTAAATTAGATGTATAATATCCCAACACATTTTTTTGTTGAATTACTTTCGCATGCATGATCGCTCAGAGATCTGTGGGTTCTATGTTTTTATCAGTTTAATATCCGCTAATTTAATTCCTTTTATCCGTTAGTTCAGACACAAACAATCTGGACCTCCACGTTTGAGATACCTTTTTGAGTTTGTGGCAGGCTCGGGGTACGAGATTGAGGTTGTGGGAATACAAGCCACGGAAAATTCGACAGTGTTTATATCGAGGGGGAGGGGCACAATACATGCTGTTCTCCTAACAATAAGAAATGGTCATCACCTCCGATTTTTGTAAATGCAAAGCGCTACGAAAACATAATAAGGGGAATCTAGTGTTCAAATCACACAAGAATTAAAAACAAAACTATATCGTCATTCAGTGACGTCGACGGCGCTAGCCATACTTCGTGCAGTCTTGAGTAAGTTCACAGTTTGTGCATATTTCTCATCTTCTTGCCAGCTATCCATGTGTTTCCTTCGTTCTTTCTCCTTATAAGCTCTCCACAATTCACCCAAATATTCCACAATTTTCTCTCTATCAAAAGCCCGAGCAAAATCTAAAGCGGTCTTCCCATGTACGCTTCGCAACGTGAAATCAGCTCCTTTGTATATCAGAAGTTTGACCAAGTCTAGTTCGCCATTGAGTGAGGCCATCATTAGAATGGATTTGCCGTCTTTGTCCATGCTGGATATATTAGCTCCGTGTTGAATAAGGAGTCGAGCTATGTGTATGTTGCCTCGTAACATTGCAAGTCTCATCAAAGGTGTCCAGCCTAGAGGAACATTATTATAGAAACAAACATCTTCGAAACGTTTTTACATTTCCTTGACCTTGGAATGTTTCCCTGTAGAAATTATTGTTACGAAACAAAATTTACTTTCCAAGAGCTAGCTAGGAAACAATGTTCCCTGGTTTGTCCACCTTTGGGAAACATGGCTGGGAAACAATGTTTCCTGGTTTGTCCACCTTCTGCTTCAGGAAACATGGCTAGGAGACAATGTTTCCTGGTTTACCATTGGGAAACATGACTAAGAAACAACGTTTCCTGGTTTGCCCACCATCAGGAAACATGGCTAGGAAATAATGTTTCCTGGTTTATTCACCTTTGGGAAACATGGCTGGGAAACAATGCTTCAGGGTTTGTCCACCTTTGGCAAACATGGTTAAGAATGTTTCCCAGTTTCTCGACCTTCGAAAGCTTTACGGCTCACAAACAATTCCATTCTTATTTGAAGTATAATCCTTCACATCTACCTGACATCCTTTCTTTAACAGAAATCTTACCACTTCAATATTATCACCGTCCACTGCCCAATGAAGAGCTGTCGAACCAGAGTAATCTTGGCTATCCCGTGTTGCGCCATAACCAGCACTTTGGCAATCTCTCATCATCGCCACCATCGTCATTTGAAAAATATTAAAGCTTAGCGGTACTATAGGAGACGTGAAAACATGTATTTTGCCGTTGTCAACAGAGCTTGGACGACGTCTAAAATACCTGCTAGACTTTTAATTGTTCATTTTTTTGTGATATAGGATTACAGTAATGTCCTTGACCTTGTATTAGGGAGTTCAGTGGCGTAACGTTATATCAGGAGGCCCCCGGTTCAAAATGTTCAAAGGCCCTCCTAGTAGAAGTGCTAAAGGCACGAGTCGAGCGCCGTAAATGCACGAGTTTTCTAGGAGTCCAGGGCATGCTCCCCCGGAAAATTTTTGAATCTATATTCTTTGAAATACCATTTCCTGGACTTTGGGGAGAGATTTTATAGAATTCTGATGGTCAGAAAACGACATTGTGACATATCAGAGGCCCTGGCCAATATTTTTGCTCTATAGCCTGGGGGGGGGGGCATTTGGCCCATTGGGGTTGGGGTGGGGCACCCGGGTTCGCCTGGTCTGAGCCCATAGTAGTTACGCCACTGAGAGAGTTTACGCATGTAAGACGGCAACGTCAGCACGATGGCTGTCAATACAAAATGTCATTAATCCTATAGCACAAAAGAAAGGAATAATTAAAAGTATAGCAGGAGTTTCAAACGTCGTCCAGGCTCAGTTGACGACGGCAAATGCATATTTTCACGTCTTGTAAAGTACGCTAGCATTTCGGGCCGTGGCAGGCGATTTTTCTAACAGCGTTGATCAAAATTGCTCTGAAGGTTAAAGCTCTGTTTTACTTAAATATTCGAAACTATTTTAAATTCATACGAAAGTAAATACTAGACAATATTTCCATACAATCATTCTGTTTCGCAACAGTTTGTTCAGCTGTCGTCCTGTCGCCGCCGTCTTAAGCCCGTTCTCCACTAGGCGAATTTTTTTGCGCGGCGCGAAGCGAAAAACAAATCTTGGCAATGTGATTGGTCAGCGTAAAAATTCGACGCGAAAAAGTTGGATCAGTTCCTACTTTTTTACTGTTCGCGCGAAGAAATTCGCCTGTTGGAGAACAGGCATAACGTAAGGGGAACCCCCCATGAAAAAGTAACTGCGTTATAACTTATATGCTTGTGTGAACGTTTATATACGCTCGTGTGTTTCAACGACGTTAAGGTTTGCGAATTGATTTGAATATTAAAGGCGAAGATGTCATCTTGCATGGTTATTCTCGGTTGGATGACGTTAGTAATATTTTATTGCATACAAGTTGGTCTTCTCGTTGCAATTGTGGCAAAACCTGAGCACTTTTTATTCTTTGTACCAGCTTGTATTTTAACAATCATTTTCTTACGTTGCGGTTCGAATTATACCGAAAACGATAAGGATAAAGAGAAACGGTTCGTTTTTTACATTTGGCTAACATACAATGTGGTGTATGTTGTGGAGGTTGTGATTTTTGCTGCCGTCGTGAAAGATTTGCCCGAAGAAGGTGCCCTTGGTATTAATGCTTTGAAAATGGCACTCTCCATCACTCCAGGCCTGTTAATCCTTTTTCTTCAACTCATGATCTGTCCATCCTACCGAAAGCCTCTGTTGTACCTGTCCATAGTCGCCGCGTTGGATATCGTCGATGGAATCGAAATGTTGGAAATTTATCTGATGCAAAATGTACGGCATTTTGATTTGGACAGTGAGACGGAAGTGTGCATCATTTTCTTCGCCTGCGTATGTTTCCTGCTCTCATCCTTTAATTTGGTTCGAAATAAATTTGGGGCAGACGGCGAGGTAAAAGAAAGGGGAGGAATATGGGCTACATTTGGTCTGCTACAAGTAATCTGTACGAATTTTCCATTCCTGGTCATACGAGTTTTGATTTGGAAAAACCACCAGTACAAAGCTTCCCTTTTTATTGTAAAGAATGTCGTATCTATAATGATTGGTTTGGTCGTGTTTGGTGGGACGTGTTTGGTGGACGAGGAAGATGCGAACCGGAACAACTGAGACGACATACAAGAAGTGAACCATTATCCACATGAAGATATTACGTAACTGTCCCTAATTACATTAGCCTTGTGGCCGAATAATTTGACACTTTCATTTGACCTAACTGTGATTTGACATTTAAGAAGTAAAGTAACACGAACCATATTTAAAAATAGAGATACTGTGTGACTGTCTCTAATTACATTAGCCTTGTGGCCGAATAATTTGACACTTTCATTTGACTTAACTGTGATTTGACATTTAAGAAGTAAAGTAACACGAACCATATTTAAAAATAGAGATACTGTGTGACTGTCCCTATAATTACAGTAGCTTTGTAGCTGAATAATTTGACACTTAAATGTATCTAACTTAAAAGTATACATTCTATGCACTTCTATTGTTTTAATGTTAATGATGATTATATTGATGTCTATGTTTTTGGTAGTTATGATAATTATTTGTATAAAACAGTTTGCAATATTGGATACACAAATTAAGGAGGATGATGGTGAATATGGTGATGATTTTGGTGGTGATGATTTTGATGGTGGTCGAATTTGCTCATACCTCAATACAAAATTCAAATCACACAAATTTAAAAAGAAAACTATATATTTCCATTTAGAAATCTACAAATTTACAACAATATAACATTTTGCAATATATAACATGTCATTCAGTGACGTCGACCGCGCTAGCCATACTTCGTGCAGTCTTGAGTAAGTTCACAGTTTGTGCATATTTCTCATCTTCTTGCCAGCTATCCATGTGTTTCCTTCGTTCTTTCGCCTTATAAGCTCTCCATAATTCATCCAAATATTCCACAATTTTCTCTCTATCAAAAGCCCGAGCAAAGTCTAAAGCAGTCTTGCCATGTACGCTTCGCAACGTGAAATCAGCTCCTTTGTATATCAGAAGTTTGACCAAGTCTAGTTCGCCGTTGAGTGAGGCCATCATTAGAACGGATTTGCCGTCTTTGTCCATGCTGGATATATTAGCTCCGTGTTGAATAAGAAGTCGAGCTATGTGTATGTTGCCTCGTAACATTGCAAGTCTCATCAAAGGTGTCCAGCCTAGAGGAACATTTTTATAGAAACATCTTAAAGTTTTTACATTTCCTTGGAATGTTTCCCTGTAGAAGTTGTTACCAAACCAAATTTGCTTCCCAAGAGCTGGCTTGGAAACAATAGAGAGGTTAAGATACCCCGGTTTCGGTGTACGGGTACGAGTAGTGTCATCTTGTTTTACTGATGTCTGTAATTCGATCATACTTTTTCTGCTTTCTTGCAATAGACAATGATAACATGCGAAAAATGTGCACCTTAATTACGAGTAAAGGTACAGACATCGACGAAAATATTGCTAACCAAAATCATGCTACCCGTACCCTTACACCGAGGTATCTTAACCTCTCTAACGTTTCCTGGTTTGTCCACCTTTAGGAAACATGGCTAGGAAACAATGTTTCCTGGTTTGTGAAACCTTCGGGAAACAGGGGTAGGAAACAATGTTTCCTGGTTTGTGAAACCTTTGGGAAACATGGCTAGGAATTTAGGAAACAATGTTTCTTGGTTTGTTCACCTTCGGGAAATAATGTTTCCTGGTTTGCTCACCATTGGGAAATATGGCTAGGAAACAATGTTTCCCAGTTTCTCGACCCTCGAAAGCTTACGGTCCACAAACAATTCCATCCTTACCTGAAGTATAATCCTTTACATCCACCTGACATCCTTTCTTTAAAAGCCATCTTACCACTTCTATATTACCACCGTCCACTGCCCAGTGAAGAGCTGTCGAACCAGAGTAATCTTGGCTGTCCCATGTTGCGCCATGTTTAACCAGCACCTTGGCAATCTCTAGTTGACCTGGCAAAGATCACAGAAAATTTTGTCTCCCATTGTTTCGAGCATCATATCATATCATATCATAAACTGTTCTTAAGTTGCTTGTGATGTTACTCTGAGTGCATATCCACACCGGGCAAGCTTGAAAAATATGCCTGGCCACGGTGGGAATCGAACCTACGACCTTTGCAGTACTAGCCCAATGCTCTGCCAACTGAGCTACGCGGTCAAGTCGGTTCGAGTATGTGATATCTCGGAACAGAATCTAGTTCCTTCTGTTCTTAAGTTATTATTGTTTTGAAGTTATTTCTACAGTAACTTACTGCAGAACTTACCAGCAAAACAAGCAAGCATTAAAGAATCTTTTCCACTGCTGTTCTGGAACTTTACATCTGCTCCGTAACTAAGTAGTTTATTCACTATCTCAAGTGAACCTTGCTGGGCTGAAAGAACATTTGAGAATTGACAGTTGGTATTCAAGTCATCTGGTGTGATCACCACATAATCATCACCACCACCCATTTAACTATCACCATCATCACATCAGAGCAAATCATGACAATCACCACCATCATTGGTTACACCATCATCACTAGTACCACCATCAACACTAGCACCACCATCATCACCACCATCATCATCACTAGTACCACCATCAACACTAGTACCACTATCATCACCACCATCATCACTAGTACCACCACCATCATCATCACTACCACCATCATCACTACCACCATCATCACTACCACCATCATCACCACCATCAACACTAGTACCACCATCATCACTAGTACCACCATCATCACTAGTACCACCATCATCACTAGTACCACCATCAACACTAGTACCACCACCATCATCATCACTACCACCATCATCACTACCACCATCATCACCACCATTATCACTAATACCACCACCATCATCATCACTACCACCATCATCACTACCACCATCATCACCACCATCAACACTAGTACCACCATCATCACTAGTACCACCATCATCACTAGTACCACCATCAACACTAGTACCACCATCAACACTAGTACCACCACCATCATCATCACTACCACCATCATCACCACCACCATCATCACTACCACCATCATCACCACCATCATCACTAGTACCACAATCATCACTAGTACCACCACCATCATCATCACTACCACCATCATCACTACCACCATCATCACCACCATCATCACTAGTACCACAATCATCACTAGTACCACCACCATCATCATCACTACCACCATCATCACCACCATGATCATCATCAAGCTATCATTATCATCACCAACACCATCATCACCATTTACTCTTTACCTGCAGTCATTAATGGTGACAGGCCATATTTGTCTGGTGAGTCAACTGCAATTTGATTAAGTTCTAAAATGTAGTGTAAAATAAAATGTAGATACAGGGTCCAGTAAATATGACAATTTTACAATATACTATACTGAAGTAATCATCAAAACATAACCATCAGAAACATAACCATCAAAAACATGGTATCAAATACCAAACCATCAAGGGTAAACATCCCCAAGCAAGTATTACCTTGGAGTACGGCATCTACTTTGGCTAGATCTTTTTGGTTCACTGCTTTGATAAGATCTTCACTAGTTTTGGGTTTTCTTGTTGTGTTTACTGTGATGATCACACTCCAGGCACTGTCCCCTGCAGTGTTGCTTTTTCGTAACCGATACCTGAAACATTCAGACATGTGTGGTGTTGTGAAACCGTTGGGGGATATCTCTAAATAAATTAGAGCCTTACGTTTACAAAAGGTGGCCATGAAAAGGGGTGTGGCTGTAATGTATAAATGAACTAAATCCTCTTTCAAGGACAAATCTTTTAAGTGCACAGCAAAAGTGTGTTATGTACCTCAAAATGCAAGATCGACTTTGAAGCATAGTGCACAATTTGCATCATCTGTATACTCGTGAGGGGACCACTCTCAAATGATGGGAGGAATTTTTCATGGGGACCACCCCCTTGACCCCCACACCTCCTGATTCCCACAACTTCCCCATTACAGAATAGCGATTTCAGAGAAGGCCAACTTGGTTTTGCCTATGATTTTGGCATAACCATTGCAATGATGTTGCCATGCTCCTAGCCAGTGTGCTTATGACAGGCATTCATCCACCTTGAAAATATCCAAAATGGTAGACGTTCAGGGGGTTAATGCCTCTTGTAAATGCACTAGCTAGGAACATGGCAAGTGCATTTTGATGACGAATCATTGCGATTTGGCCTTCTGTAAGGTGTCTTCTGTAATCTATTGCTTTACCTATATTGTGTCTGAGGTTCAAGTCCTTCAAACACGTGACTTTTAGCATAACCACTGTACACATTTCCAAATCCTGTACTCCTCATGGCAACCTCCTCCTCTTGCACACAGTAACGAATCTTGCCATGGACAGGCTTCTCTTCGTCATGGGTCTCGTTAACATCCCAGTAAAGCTCGATACTGTTGTGCGTCACTTTACCCACCACAGGCGGGTCGGGACGTGGAATCTCGGTCATGCCTATAAACCGGTGGATTTCAGTAATGGATCGTTCCAGAAAAGATCCACACCCTCCCATGGGAGAAATTTCGGTTTCCGGAGGACGAGGGATGAAAAATTTGTTTCTGATAATAGTAAGTGTATCGGGACATCCAAAGGGGGGATTTATTTCTGGAATAACCCAATACACGTTTCCAGAAAGTATGTGTCACTGTGATTGAGATGTTAGGCTTCATCTAAATTCACATACATGAAAATGAGGCTCAACAGTCAAAGTGACATACTTTCCGGAAGGGTACATTGGGTCATTCCAGAAAACATCCATACCACCCCCACGGAGGAAATAGGAAGTTAACCCCCCTACCCCCTTCGGATGTCCTAATACATTTACTATTATCAGAAACATTTTTTCTCCCCTCCCCCTCCGGACGGCAGAAATTTCCTCCGTGGGGGGGAGTATGGATCTTTTCTGGAACGACCCATTATAGCCTTACAACACCATATAAATTGTATCCTAGCCATTGACTTTTCATAGATAAAGTTTTGAAGGATTTGTAAGAAATGTTTGAAGGTGCATGTTTAAACACTGAATCAGTTAATTCCTCAAACAATGCAAACATTTCCTACAAATCCTTCAAAGCTTACAATTTACCTATGCAAAATTCCTACTGTGATAACTTTGATAGGTTGAAAAGGACATAGTATATATTTATACTATGTCAGTAAAACAATAATTTGACTTTAACTCTTTATGACAATTCTAGACGTTTTACTTTCAAATATTAACACCTGCCAAATAATTAAGTTGCTAAGGGATTTCGTCTATGTGGCCTTCCATATATTGTTCCCTTTTAATATGTCCATTTGAAAACGTAAACAATAGATACATGGAACACAATACAATACCTTATCTGAATTTTAACTTTAACAGATAAAATCCATCTTATAAACCTTTAGATAAAAGCGTTAACATTCTCCGCGGCTTGTTTGTATTCGTCTGTCAACAATTAGACATGAAAACAATGCGAAAACAGTCTTGGTTTAATTTTAATAATTTTCTCAAATATTGAAATTTTTTTTGAGTTTTGATCGTTTCTTGGCAGCCGACGATGCGGTATTTTCGACGCGTCGCGTTTTCGAAAAATTTGTCCAGCGAAATCTCGAGATTTTTTGCTTGAAAAAAAAGTTACGAAAAATGTGATTGCTTTCTGAGTTTCTGTTTATAATATAAATGTATTTTACTGTTGTAAAAACAATGCTCTGTTTTATTTTGTTTTCAAAGCGTATCTTGCTGGCCGGCTTTATGACTTTTTACATTCGGTTTAATTTAATATGATAATTATTTTCAGTTACTGTATTAAAACTTATGAATAATAAGCCGAAGGATCATATTTTATTCCTCATTTAACTTAAATTCTATTGTTTTTTTCTTAATTTTTCTGCATAAAAATTTTCGGGAATTTCTAGAAAATTTCCTGAAATTTTCCTTACAAAAAAATATTCCCCCGAAAGTGGAAATACCGAACTTTTTAGCGCGAATTTTTTCCCGGTTTAAAAGTCAAACAGCAAGTGTTCTGGTCACTGGTTCTGGTGCTTTCTTTCAAATTTTTCAAAGTATGGGCGCTTTAGAAAAGCTTTTATACGTTTTAGACTTATTAGCAAGCTTTATTTTAACTCGTTTTCCGTACGTATGTATTTTAACGTCACTTTTACAAGCGGGACAGAGGCAAATTAGACAACCTGATTCATGGTTGGAGGCAATGGTTCACCCCACCTACGTCCACGCGATGATATATTTTATTTGTGGCGGTGGTATGACAGTGGATTCCACAAGAAGGGTTGCTGGGTTTGGTGCGGCTGCTCATACCGGATTCTTTGCCGTAAAGACTTTGGTTAAACCTCGTTTTTCAGAATGGTTAATGGTAAGTAGTTGAAATATTATGCTTCCCCCCCCCCGGTTCTTTTAGCAAAGTAGCACAGTATAGGGACCAACAGAACATTGACTCAGCCAAAAAGGCATAACCAATGCCACACCATGATTTGCAATGATTCGTCATCAAAATGCTGTCGCCATCTTCCTAGCCAATGTGATGAGAGGTATTTCCCCCCTGAATGTCCACCATTTTCAGGGGGGTGATGCACTGGCTAGGACCATGGCAACAGCATAATATACAGTGTTCTCATAATAAAACAGCCAACAAATTAATGAGATATTTACTGTAATAAATATTTTGTCAAATTTGTTACAAATATTAATGAAACCTTGCAAATTACGAGTTTATGTTTGTTAACTGCAGTAAGCAACTTGCCAAGTTGGCTTTGCAAGTTCCACACAGCAATATTCCAAATTTAGAAACGTATTTGGGAATATTCTTAAGAAATTTGGGAGCTGCATTTTCAATCGACAATAATCAAATTATCATAAATTGACAGATTAAAATATTCGCAAGAAATGTTGCTATCGCTGGTGGATACCTATTAGTAGCTGGGGGTCTTGTCGACAGCAAAAAATCACCAAACCTACGCCCATCGTTACTTCAACTTGGCCGACAAACACAAGCCTTTTATGCCATTTTTAATGGCTACCTGTTATGGGCAAGTCCTGCGGATCGTGCCGTCCACATCTCGCATCTACCTCTGGGACGGTTGGTGACAACGTGTTTAATAATTTTATTCATTCTATGCGGAATTATGCTTTACGGGGGATTACAGGTCCCATACTTCGCTCGGCTGGTGGCGTGGATGTTGGTCATAGTGACGGTTTTTGTCGAGTTTGACACAAAATATTGGAAGATTAGGGGCATGCCATTTTGGGAACAGGTACTTGTCGGGTCACAGAATATCTGTGCTATTGCAAATTTGATCATACTTGGTAGGATTAGGGAATGGTAGCTTTTAATTAATCAAGTTTCTAGACAATTTTGTCTTCATACTCATAAATACACAGCAGTCTGATAAAAATGAGCTAGGATTTCATTGTTTTGAGCAAAGGACCTTTGTCAAAAAAGTTAGCAGTAACTTTGTCACTAATAGATAAAGTTGTGTCATGGGTGCTAAAAACTGCCCTCCAGTTTTTGAAAAAACATAGTAATCTCTTTTCTCTGAAGACCGTTTTTGCTATAAAGGTCACAAAAATCACTATTGTATAAAGAATCAGGAAGGCTACCCATGACAAAGGCACTTTGCTCAAAATCCATTGCTTTATCAGAAAACACTCAGTTCATTGTTAAATTGTCTCATATTGAAGCTGTAGAAATATTACTAATTAACAGAAAAGATAACAAACTACTGTTTAGAAATATTTATTCACAAGACACACAAGTTCATTTGTACACGTATTAGCATTGCAAAGGGCGAAAGCAATTCTGATCTACTGTATGGATCGGAAATACTACAACTTTGTAATCCGACATCAGCTTTTCTGTAGTTCATAGATCTAAACAGAGAAAAATAGAGGTTTCAAAACAAGATTTTGGACACTTGTTCAATATAATTAAATGCAGATGGTTTTTGGAGATGGTATTTTCAACTGGATTTGTGGTCAATTCTCGGCAACTGTAGCAGTGCTGCACATGACCACAGGCCCCAAAGCATCCGCAATTATATACATGGTTAGGTAATTACCTGAATATAAGAATCAGATAGTGTGATCATCTGTGGTAGTATTTCTTTGACATGTAGATCTTGCAGTTCATACCACTGATCCGCACCCTACGAGCAATAATAAATTATATCTCACATCTGGTGGTCCAGTGTAGGTAGTTAATTGTGAAATACTTACCTTGTGGAAAACATGGACTCGATAGTTCTTGCTGATTTTGCCTTCTGCCTCTGAAATGTCAAAATAATGCTTGTATCAATTTACTAACCTCCTGGGATGTTGCTACTGGAGGGTGGAGTGAGGGGGTGTAACTAACCCCCACCCCCAACATAATTACACACCAACCAAATTACATGGCTAGGACCAACAACTTATACCTACGTTCCGACCAACTTACAGACCTATACTGGGGAGAGATCTACTGCTATGCTACACTAGAAAATATCCAACCTGTCTGCCCTTCGTAGCAGATATTTGCGATAAGATCATAAGACGTATTTGGATTATCTTTCACGCATTCAGGAGCTAGATATTCCGCCATATCCACATCTCTAAAATACACACAATTTGTAGTAAATTGGTTAAATTCGTAGAAATCTCAAATGTGGAGGTCCAGTTAGCCTACGTCACAGACGCTCGTGGGTGTGTTTGGCACTTATCACATTACACACAGAGACTATGTCGTAGTCTAAGGTCCAGTAAAAGTAGCATTCTAGATGTTATAGCTGATCGCCATTAGGATAGAATGCTACTGTAATTGGTTATCAGCTGTAAATCCACATCTTATATTGTAGAGAATTTGCATTCAACTTACTTGACGGGAAAGTTGACAACTGTGGGATTTTTCTCAACAAAAAATATGTTCTTTGTAAATCTCTACAATAAAAGTTACATGTGATATTGTTCACTCGGTAATATAATGGGTAGAAATGTTCTCGAGTGAAACTTCAACCACGGCAGGCAGAATTTTCTACTTGCGCGGTTTGGACTTACTCGAGAACATTTAAAAGTTGCAATAAAAATTATACAAGCCATATACACTATGCATGTTAGACATTAGGTACCAGTACAGCAAGAAACCTCAATTACCTTGACGACAATGATTAGGTAAGGTGGCAGTTTGGTCAACTGAAATTTCTTCACAAACGTTTCTTTGTATGTTTTGTATTCCTAAAATATGGTGATCAATTTAAATTATCTATATATTTTACTCCTACCAATTAATAGTAGGTATTTTAAGTAGTATGTATGTGACTCTTTCTTCGTATTAAACTGATAAATTTGGTTATACAAAAACAAAATTGGTTGTACACTAAGTTTTCATGACTTGGCTTCGCAAATGAAGATCTAGATAGGAAGTACGGTAAGCTGGTTGCTGGCTGAGGAGTCCAATGCAGTATAAGCAGACTCGACCACAGCGAGTGCTGACGAAAGTCTGGACTGGGTGCTGGTGTTTTGCGGTTCTTGTATCTGGGTACAAGATTGGGTTCTTCTCTTTTTGTTAATGTTTCCTCGACAGCCTGATGTATGGTGTCTCCATACAGCCATGCGATCAATGTAACATGCCTTCAGACAGTCTTTGCACCGTTTCCTTGGAGCATCTACATGTATGTCATGATAGCTAGAGGACAACTCTACGTAGAGCACGATCTTTGCTGGGCAGTGATCCTCCATAGACTACGACAATTACTTGAATAACTAATCGACGTATCTTACTTTTTCCGTTATTCCATCAAATTTGTTGAGCAATGCAAAAATGGAAACCTAATCCAAAAAGAAAGTGGTAACATTACGACTATCAGTGTTACTCTTACACTTTTGGTTGAATCATTGATTAGTAGTAGTACCGATCTGCAGTGGGCAGAATACGGACAAATAATAGCGAAGAGAAAGGTAAGTCCTGCACTTTACCTGTGGAATTATATTTTGTTGCATTTCATCCTATAAGAACAAAAAAGAATTAAGAAGTCATGAAATGTACCGTTCTTGCATTAAACCCCCCTCAAATCTCATCAACTCTCATGCAACTCTTGTTCTCGTTTGACCGGGACTTTAGTGTGTTCAGAAAACCAGAACATTTGACTGAAGCGAAATTAATAAGACGACTGCATACTGCAGGAATTGAACTCCCATGAGTCACAGATGTCGCATGGTAGAAACGTCTAATGGTCCTTCTCCCACTGTCACCAACACCGTACCATACTATAATGTTTGATGGTTACCTTAAACAGTGGTGCAGGTGGTGTGTCCAGAGAGAGGTACCAGAACGGACTCTCTGTTACAGTTTCTTTATATTCTTCATCTGACTCGGGTCTCTTCACTTCTTTCTTTGCAGTCTCGTCGTCCTACAGTGTCATGTAGAAAGGTGAGTGCGAGATATATTGCAACTAAATAATATACAGTGTCAGGACGTTGCTACTAAGGGGTGTAACCCCCCCCCCCCCCCCAATAATTTTGAAGTTCAAAAAGTTGGTGAAAGTGGAAAATATTTGGTCAAAATAGTTTGTCGATTGTTGATTTTTCAAATTGGTTGTCAACTAACTATGATAGTATTCAATGATAATAAGATCTCACCTCTGTTGGCGGGAGTTTTCTGCTGGTAATTCGCATTTTTCCTTGGAAGATATTTCTTATAATACCTGCAAGATTATAGTGATTGATATATTTTACTGTAATAGTATAACTGATTAATCAGCAATGCGTTTCCAATGAAAATTTAATATACGAACTTGATTTTCCTGATTTGGAATCTCTCTTGAGAATGGAATGTAGCGCATTTAAAAACCATGAGAGAAACTCGACAGGATCACCTACAAGCACAATATATATGGTGTACTACTCGCTGTATAGAGCACGTTAAGGCTACAGTTTACACAATCAAAGTAGGAATTTTGCATAGGTAAATTCTAAGTTTTGAAGAATTTGTAAGAAATGTTTGAGGAAACTGACTCAGTGTTAAACAGCGAGTCTGTTCTCTCAAACATTTCTTACAACTTCTTCAAAACGTTGAACTTACCTGTGCAAAATTCCTACTGTGATCACAGAGACTTTGATAGTCTTTAAAAATTCATTTGGAGGTTGCTTCAGTCAGAAGTTATGTATATTTTCTAACTGAAGATTGTTTCGTGCCCATACCTTGTTCGGTGAATTGAAATTTCTTTTTACTGCACAATACGACAGCCTAAACAAATGAAATGTTTCACTGAGTTCCTCATGCACTCATTGGTGAGCGGATTTCCCAACCGAGGCTATTGGCCAATTGATAGGGATCCGAGGTATCTACGATTTTAACGTCCTTATCCGAGAAGACGCGAAAGTCTAACCATTTACTGATGTCAATGTCAAGGTAGCTCTTTCTCCTCAATTATTTTAAGACCTTTAGTAGAGGTCCGACCAAGGACTGAACCCAGGTCTCCCAACTTGAAAGGCCAAAGCGTGGTATAACCACGATACCACCAGTGCTGGAACCATTTTTCTGAGGGCCACCCTCATTAACATTTTAGTGTTAGATTGATGTCCACTCTCAATAAATATTGTTATTCATTCATTCATTTGTACAGATAGATACACTGTACATGTAATTATTTTAACAATTTTATTACTGTATATATACAGTATACCTACTCATAATTCGGCTACTTTAAGGCTACAAGATTTTACCTCGATAAATCATCGATACTAAATACGTTATTAGAAAGAATAAAAGCAACACCTGAAGCATTTCATGAGGACTGACATGGGCCTTAAAATTTCTTGGATTCCATAATTTTCGCAATAATTCACCAAATCTTTGCGCTAGTAACATAGAATAGAGAAACTTCAGTAGTAAACCACTACACCCTGTAAATTACGTCAGTGGAATAAAAATACCTAAAATAAACGAAATATCTCCTGAAGGCATTTTGATGTCTTTGTAGTTCTCTTCACGTAGAAAGAAATCGCGAATTGTGGGGGCAAATGACATTGCCTGGAATAGATAAAGAAGAGATAAGTTTGAATTTGAATTATTTTGGAAACTGATGATTAAGGAGACAGCAACCGACCTGCAGAACTACATTAAGGTAATCGTTTTCTTTGATGTTATTTAAACCCACCACACCTACATGAAACAATAGATATACCTGTAGCAAAATAGTTCACATTTCCTGCTGTAAACCTGGGGTGTGACAGTTACTGGACATTTGGTAGAAAAGGTTAAAACTGATAGATCTATCCAGTATAAATAAAGTTAGTTTACATGTAGTTTAGGTTTCCCCTTGTAGTAACACTGCATCAATAAGAGATGATCCTTACTGGACCTCTAGGAAGAACAGTTTAGAACTGATAGAGCTATTCAGCATAAATAAAGTTAGTTTAGTTTAGGTTTCCTCCTGTAGTAACACTGGATCAATAAGAGATTATCCTTACTGAACCTCTAGGGAGAACAGTTTAGAACTGATAGAGCTATCCAGTATAAATAAAGTTAGTTTAGTTTAGGTTTCCTCCTGTAGTAACACTGGATCAATAAGAGATTATCCTTACTGAACCTCTAGGGAGAACAGTTTAGAACTGATAGAGCTATCCAGTATAAATAAAGTTAGTTTAGTTTAGGTTTCCTCCCGTAGTAACACTGGATCAATAAGAGATGATCTTTACTGGACCTCTAGGAAGAACAGTTTAGAACTGATAGAGCTATCCAGTATAAATAAAGTTAGTTTAGTTTAGGTTTCCTCCTGTAGTAACACTGGATCAATAAGAGATGATCCTTACTGAACCTCTAGGAAGAACAGTTTAGAACTGATAGAACTATCTAGTAGAAATAAAGTTAGTTTAGTTTAGGTTTCCTCCTGTAGTAACACTGGATCAATAAGAGATGATCCTTACTGAACCTCTAGGAAGAACAGTTTAGAACTGATAGAACTATCTAGTAGAAATAAAGTTAGTTTAGTTTAGGTTTCCTCCTGTAGTAACACTGGATCAATAAGAGATGATCCTTACTGAACCTCTAGGAAGAACAGTTTAGAACTGATAGAACTATCCAGTATAAATAAAGTTAGTTTAGTTTAGGTTTTCTCCTGTAGTAACACTGGATCAATAAGAGATGATCCTTACTGGACCTCTAGGAAGAACAGTTTAGAACTGATAGAGCTATCCAGTATAAATAAAGTTAGTTTAGCTTAGGTTTCCTCCTGTAGTAACACTGGATCAATAAGAGATGATCCTTACTGGACCGCTAGGAAGAACAGTTTAGAACTGATAGAGCTATCCAGTATAAATAAAGTTAGTTTAGCTTAGGTTTCCTCCTGTAGTAACACTGGATCAATAAGAGATGATCCTTACTGGACCTCTAGGGAGAACAGTTTAGAACTGGTAGAGCTATCCAGTATAAATAAAGTTAGTTTAGTTTAGGTTTCCTCCTGTAGTAACACTGGATCAATAAGAGATGATCATTACTGGACCTCTAGGAAGAACAGTTTAGAACTGATAGAGCTATCCAGTATAAATAAAGTTAGTTTAGTTTAGGTTTCCTCCTGTAGTAACACTGGATCAATAAGAGATGATCCTTACTGGACCTCTAGGGAGAACAGTTTAGAACTGATAGAGCTGTCCAGTATAAATAAAGTTAGTTTAGTTTAGGTTTCCTCCTGTAGTAACACTGGATCAATAAGAGATGATCCTTACTGGACCTCTAGGAAGAACAGTTTAGAACTGATAGAACTATTCAGTATAAATAAAG